GCTATGACTGATTTTATTGTTTCTAGTAAAACCTTTTTTTTGTTCCTTCACCCTTATTTTTAGAGTGTAGCTGGTCTAGCCCTTGTGTTCAATGCCACAATTGCATTGGATTGAATACCCAAATTTCTTGATCATGTTTTATTTCAAGGCAGCAAGGGTTTGGTTTGGAAGAGATATCTCCAAAGTGTTGAAGTATTTTTGAATATCATCCCAATAATGAATGAACTGCAAATCTTTTCAATCTTTTTATGTACAGTAGACAGACTGTAGCATATTTTTTTTTATTGATGTCCTTGACTCTTTTGTCCATACTCATGGAAGCAGATGTTATGCTTACAGGGTAGTTATTAGCTTGAAGAGTGTTTATAATGCTGATCATCTTTTGTTGGCATTTGTCAAAATTCTGAGAAGGTTACAAGATATGACAGACACCTGAATAAGGATGGAAAGTACAGTGGTCAAAATGGTGCAAGTATAGTAGCCAAAATGATTATACTGGTCAGAATATAAAGGCACATAATAATGATAATTCATATGAAAATCCAATATAAATAAAAAAAATATTTTGAAAAATTATGACAAAGAGTGAAACAATGAGTAAGCAGCATTTTTACAACAGATTTGGCATGGCACAAGCAAGATGTTGTCACTTTCAAAACATTGACATTTAGTAAATAAAATGACGAGATATGATGTGGCAAAATGCAAAAACAAATATGAAGAAAATTTGCAGAATAAAGTAGGAAAGAGAGAGATTAAAAGTGAAAAGAATGACATGTTAAACTAACTAGAGAGAGAGAAAAAAAACAAGTAGAAACGAATAAACGAAAGAATTATGGGCAAATTTAGACCTTCATGCCTGTAAAAAAATGGAGTGTCAAAATGATGGGATTTCCCTTGACACCACTAATATTTTAACTACCTTCAGTTCTCAGCAATGTTATCGTTTTGAAAAACGATGATTAGAATTGTAATAAAACCTAAACATGATGAAAGTGAATTTATACATTTTCTTTCTTCTTGAGAACAAAAATAATAATCACTATTTATTTATTAGAATTGTTTATTTACACTATTATTTATTAGAATTGTTTATTTACACTATTATATTATTTATTAGAATTGTTGACATGACATTGACTAATTGCCAATTGATTTGAACTTTATAAAATAATGATTTCCTTATGGTCAGTTCAATATTTTAATAATAATGTTTATAAATTTATGAATAAAATATTTTCATATTTATTTCTTTACAAAATGGTAAATGATAACTATTACATTGCATTAGTTCTAATTTTATTAGCTTTTAGAATGTTGTAAATATTCTTGTAAATAAACAATCCAAGTGTTTAATATTTTGTTGTAAATTCTGAAGAACAAAAAATATATATAAATTCACTTTCATATGTTTAGGTTTTATTACAATTCTAATCATCACTTTTTAAAACAATAAACACTGCTGAGGAGTGAAGATAGTTAAAATAATAGAGGTGTCAAAGGAAAAATGTCCTTTTGACACTGTCATTTTGTAGGCATGAAGGTCAATATCTGCTGAATTTTCAATATGTATAAAAATTGAAGAGGAAAAAACATGGAATGTTATTTCATTATATCTTAATTCAATGGATCTTATAAAGAAATAAGATGAACAAGAATTCTTATATATTCAAAGAAAAACTCAACCTAAACTTCTGAAAATGAAATCGTTTGCCTTTTACATGTAATCAATATCTTGTTCTTTTACTGAAACTTATTTTTGGAATGGTAAGAATTTTTCCTTTTAAAAAGTCTTTGTTTAAAACATAATAAAAAAGATAAATTGGAAGGAATTTTTAAAAATCTAAATCTTGCTGAAGTTAAAAAATCTGCTTTTCTTAAGTTGATGTTAGTCATTATGTGGCTGTGGTGTGCAATTCATTCATTGACCACCCTAACCTCCAAGATAGTATAGGAGAAAACAGATTAGAATTGTTCATATGCTAATGAAAAAAAAATCACAACTGTCAATACTTGAACAATTCAATCATATGAACTTAAAACCTATCCTTCTCTATTATATTGCCTTCTTTGTTTTGTTCTTTAAACAATAACATTATACACCAAATAGAACATTACAAGAAATTTCTTAAATTTAGGACCTCAAACTTCTTTTTAAACAATATTGATAAACGATTAGGAATATATTTTTCATATTAAAAACAAAACTTTGAATTTTTTAAAGAAAAGTTCAGATCAGCTTTACTCTGTGTTAAGAATAAGATACTGAAGTTTTTGCAATTTCCTTCCATGTCTATAATTATTGAAAATTATTCAAAAACTGATTTATCTAGCTGCATTTTAAAAGCATTTTCTGGTCATTTGAATAAAAAATTAAAATACAGAAGTACATATAAAAATCTTTGAAAATCTTAACCGAGAAAAATGAAAATTTAAAAAAAATATCAATCCAGAGTTGAAGAAAATTGCATTCAGAAATGTATCATTTATAAAAAAAATAAAATAAAATAAAAATAGGTTAGAAATTGAAAATTAATGATTGCAGATGAAGTAATTTTAACAAGTTTTAGCATTGAATTTTACTTTTAGTGAAATTTCAAGTTGTCAAATTTAGTATGAGAAGGGCTGTATGAATATAAAACTGATTTTCTTTGATATTTGAAAAAAAATTTACTCAGTATTCAAAAAAAAGATCTATGTTAAACTTAAAAAGTTACAATTTTTTTGGTAACTAAGAAAAAATGAGAAAGTTTAACCACCAAAAAGAATTTATTGCATTTAATAATCAAACAGATCTAAAACTTAAAAGCAAGAGAAAGAGAGGGCTATGGATATGATGCTAGAGAAAACTTTGGAAATATTACACGAGTCTTCCTCATGTGATGAGTAGAGAATTTAAAAAAAAATGTTCAGTTTTTTGCTTTCAAGAAAAGACAGACAACTGTAAAGAAAGGATATGGCAGAGAGAGATATAGAGGGAAGTGTTTAAAACAAACTTAGTAAATGGGAAATATTTTACTCCAAATTTGGAATGGCAGGATTGTTAACAATTCAATTACAATTTTATTTTATTTTCTATTGTTAACAATTTCAAGTTACTGCTACACAGTTTCAGTGCTTTTTTTTTTTTTTTTTTTTTTTTAAATAAATATTTTTTGAGCATCGTCTGCTTTCATGTTCGCATATATCATCCTTGCGACAAAGAAATACTTATTGGAGTGTCTGTCTGCTGATTTCTTTTCTCATCTCATCCTCCCATGAAAGTAACTCTAAAAAAACATTGAACAGTTTTAAAAACATTACTGCACTGATGTTTTATGCCGTACACCATTACGTTTAAAAAAAAACAAACAAACATAAAAAAAAAAACAACAACAAAAAAACACCGAAACCGTGGCGTAAATAGTCTTTGAGGAGCCAGTTTGTCCATACTAAATCAGTTAAACTAAGTTTAGTCATTTTTTATAATACATTATTGGAATTGACTACCGTTTACCGGGCCCACGGTCCTGGAAGTACATAACGACTTGAAATGAAACAGTTGATGACTAACAGATCGTGACAGCAAATTAGGGAGATGTGATTTAAATATACTTTTTATTAAGAAAAATTTATTCAGTATTATTATTGTTTAGGTAATAATAAGCATTAGTACAAATAACTATATTGTGGGGGGGGAGGAATTTTCGACATACGCATTTTTTACGTATGGTTATTTTTTAACTTTTCAAAAACGACATTATCTTCTTGTACAATACATATGGATAAGAAGATCATACATTGATTAATTACTAATTTTTTAAAAATTAATAATAACTATTTCAGTTGTTGACATTACATTTTGGATTGGAATAATTATGCAATAATAAAAATTCCATCTCTCTGAGAAATGTCGCGATATGGGATTATTCTCAACTGATTAAAAATAGTCTCCTCATCGCAATATTTTGAGTTTTGACAAGTACAGCTCAGACCTCATTGAACAATCGATCACCATAAAAAAACTGAACTATTGTTCTTTCTTTCTTTCTTTATCTACCGTTTTTTAAACTTAGGTTGTGAAAATAATAGCTTCTTACTGAATCTAAAAATTCAGCACAGTAATTAGCGAGCATACCTTATGTAAATTATTATTTGTTTATTCTTACTTTTTCCTTGAATTATTCATTCTTCGACAAAGTGTGCTTATCAATTCCATTTTCAATTTAGTTAGTCAACTGTTTTTTATTCAAGTTGTTGTCTTCCGTGGCGGACCCGTAAACAGTAGTCAAGCCCATTTATTCTTGCACATTTAAACGTTATATTACGTCTTGAAATTATTAACGAATGCTTTCTTTTGGAATTATCTTTTATTTGTAATTAAATAAATGACTAATTATACCTTGGAATGGATCAGAAAATAAAGCAGCTGACACCACAATAAGTAAATTAAAAACACATCTATCTTCTAAGGGACTGTATTCTGAACTTGTCTCTATTTTATTTAATTGAAATTATGTCATAACATTAGAAATTCAGAACAAAATCATTGTTATTAAATTTGAAGACATTTTTTTCGTGACCTTCAGGTAGCGATTGTTTTATTTTAAGAACAAATAATGAAATTATTCACATAAAACTACAAACAATAACAGATTTTTAAATATTCGTTGTAAAAAATTTAATCGTTTTATTTTTATTAATTAAAAAATTTAAAATGCCTTCTTTTTTTTTTAGTATTATTCATTTACCTTTTTAAGATATATGCAAATGATTCACAATTTTTAATGCTGTTAGATTTGCAATTTAAAAAAATGAACAATTTAATGAACATTTTTATGTCGGTATTACTAACTAAATAATTTAAGACAAAAATCAACAACAGAATGAATGAACTGAACAATTGCGTGCTATGTTTTTTTTCTGTTTTTTTTTAATGAAGTAACAAAAAAACTGCATATTCGTCAGTATACATCACACACAATTCATAATGGCAAGAAAAGTTAATGATTTATACGAACCAGTCGTATTTCGCTGACTTCTTTATAACGTATATAAGAAAGAATTTTGTTAAACACTTCTTTTGGTAGGTTTAAGATATTCATAAACGAATTCCCATCTTCGTCAGCAGCCATTGTAATTTTTAATAGCCTCCTCACGGGCTGGCGATATAAAATTATTGACTGGAATTGCTGAAACGAAACAGCTTCCTCCGGCGATTGTAAGTTCCAAGTGAATTACTCGCCCGCTCTCTTTCTCACATATGCATATTATTTATGTAGATATATGTGCGCAAGTATAGTTTTTTTTTTATGGTTACACACTGAAAAATATTTCAAGCTTCACAAACAAAATGTATTATGAATAAATTTAATTTCTAAACAACCGATTAAAAAATATTGCATCGTTAAAACGTGGAATTTTTTTTTTTAAGTATTCACAATTTTTCACAATTCACATTTTGTAATTTTGATAATTAAATTTTAAATTCTAAAATTAATAATTTTTTAGAAGGAAGAATCATAAATCCGAGTCCTATTTTTAATTGAAGAAAAATCTGTAATTAAAAAAAATTAATAAATTTATAAAAAAAACAAAAAAAAACAACCAAGAACACCCCCACCCCCCAAGGCCAAACTAAAAAACCAGTACTGTAAAATTTGTTTGCTTTGCACAAAGCTTATTGCCGATTATGGGCTTCCCTTATTTCAACAATTTATTCGGTGAGTGCGAGACTACTATACGTATTATTTAAAAAAAAAAAAAATAGCTTTTCAACTACTTTTTACTGAATAGGCACATTTACAAAATTCACCAAAAAATTATCTGCTAGTAAAAATAAATTTTATTAATAAATAAAAAATAGTTTATTAATTAAATAAAAAAAAAATAAGGAAAAGGGAATTCATAACGAATACACCGTCAAATAGTGACTTTGCAAAAATGTCTCTTGCCACAGTTGATAGTTCTCGAGAAAAAGCTTTAGCTGATTATAGAAAGAAATTGACGGAGCATAAAGAAATTGAAGATAAACTTAAGCAATGTAAGTTATTATTTTTTAATCGAAATCTTACCTGTTTATTACAAGTACATTATTATTTTCTCTTTTGTTTAACAACAGTATAGCACCGGTGTTTTGCACACACTCCACAAAATTGGAATTAATTTCAATACAGATAATAATTTCTTTAAAGTTTAAAAATATGCGAACTTAATTATAAAATCAAAATATATTTTTAAGGTTACACCTCGTAAAAATCAGGGTAAAGTTAGAAACACACCAATTTTTATCCCTTATTGATATTGTTGAACGAATTCTAACTGCTAAAAATATGTACTTCACCATCCTTTGAAGTTATTTCAATTTAATCTTTAGTACATTTGAAACATTTATATTTTGAAGTAAAATTTAAAAGAATTACTGGAAGTCAAGTTAGAATTGTTTTCTTTAGAAAGATTATAAATATCGTGCTTTTAGGTGATGATTGCATCAGTATTTTCTAAATACGCTTTTTTTTTTTTTAAAAAAAAAGGAAAATATATTCATCTAAAAATGTTAATTTTTTTTACTTAAATTAAGAAGGAAACTAAAACTAAAAACAAGAAAATACGGAAAAGATTAAAAATGTTAATGTTTAGTCGGGTATTGTTTTGTTTATATAACAAAATGTTATTATTGTTAGTTTTTGTTATAAACAAAACAATAGCTAACTAAATAAAATACATCCACTAGGAAATTCAATCAGCTTTTTCTCTTCGTAATGAAGTAATCTATTTAATTAATTAAATCAATTTTAGAATTATTGAATAATGCAATTGTCCATTTTTCAATGTGTAACTTTGCTTACTTGATGCTATTTGAAGTGATTGTGATTTTTTTCTTAAAAAAAACTCCAAGTGTAGAACTGGCATTTTACTTCTGTTTTTTCAATTTCAATATCAATCAATGGCCATTTTAAAATTATTATTCGCTGAATCTAATTTAAATTAAAAATCAGAATTCCTGAATTTGAAAATTACAGAACTCCTTGAATAAACAAATTTAATAACTAGCAGTTACCAGGCTTTTTCTTTAAAAAAAAAAAAAGTTATAAAATAAAAACAGAAAAAGTATTTACATTTTTTTTTGGTATAGTGTGAATAATAACTGCTCATCCCAGAAATTCAGACAGAAAAAAAAATTCTTTAACGCATTTTTTATACTATACAACATAAAAGAAAGAAAATATTTAATTTACACAAAAAAATGAGCTGTTACCGAAAAAATATTCTGATGCCTCAACATCAGTGCTTTCCCATTGGATGCTATATAGCAGGTATATATTCTTTTGAATTTTGATGATAAGTTATAAGTTCCTGGTACATTTGGCCTGCTAAACAATTTTGGTGGATTCGTGTAAATCCAAAGGAATAATAAGACATGAAATTTGAACAAAGAAATATTAGCAAATATATTGTCAGGACATTTTACAAAAAAAGAAAAGATGAGAAATGAAATTTGAAAAGTTCAAAGCAACTTTAAGTGTCTAGTTCAGTGTTTCTCAACCTTTTTACCTGTGCATAACCCTTAAAATAAATTACATGTCTCAAGGAACCTCCGCACAAAAACAAAATTATATACCATATCTTTCTCATTTTATTTTCATCATAGTTCACATGGTAAATATCATAGTATATATTTTTGCATAACTGGTTTAAGAAAAAATTAATACTTTGTCAAATTTTTCGGTAATGTTAAATAAAATTCATACTGTTCATTTATAATACTTCATCTCGTGGAACCCTTGGGGACCTTTTACGGAACCTTAGGGTTCTGGGGAACCTCAGTTGAGAAATGCTGGTCTAATTGATTACTCACATTTTGTAGGAGTGAGAAGAATACGTCTTTTTGTGATAAAATGTCATTGAGATAGAGATTAAGTCTTTCAAATCTTGCACCACCTGTAAATCATCAGGGGATGATAATTCCAAAATCTCACCAGTGAGATTAATAAGGCGGTTATCCAACAATACTCCCCACAGATGAAGAAGATTCTCTTATGAAGTCTTGATTTATTATGTATGTCTCTAAATGTCATGGCCAATGAACAGTGCAACCATTTTGTGTTGTTGGTTTAGGTGAGGGCATATTGCCTGTTGGTTTAGGTGAGGTCATATTGCCTGTTGGTTTAGGTGAGGTCATATTGCCTGTTGGTTTAGGTGAGGGCATATTGCCTGTTGGTTTAGGTGAGGGCATATTGTCTGTTGGTTTGCTTTGATTTGTGTCAGGATGTGATAAACCATGAAGGCAGTTGAAAATGTTTTTACATAACGATGGAGGTTTATAAGGTTGATGGTAACCTTTTTTTTTTCATGTCCCATATGAAAGTCAAATGTCTGAAAGGGATAGGTAAGCTTTCAAGTTGCATTGAAGTATCATCCTTGACTTGCAAAAGTGTAGTCTTTTTTTTTTTTCCTTGGCAATAGTCCTGTATCTTAAACTTTCTCTATGGACATGGAAGTACAGGACAGTGCATCTGCAGCAATCTTTTTTTTCACCTTTTATATATTGTAGATCTGAAGTAAATTGTGAAATGTGGTCAAGATGTCTTGTTTCATGTGGTGAATATTTATCGGGCTTGCTGTAGTGGGCATAAATGAGTGGCTTATGCTCAGTAAATACCATGAACTCGCGTCCCTCTAAAATATAATGAAAATGTCAAATAGCTAAATAGATAGCAAAAAAGTTCTCTCAAAAATGTGCTGTATTTCATCTGTGAGGAATTTAGCTTGAGAGAGAAGAAAGATGTAAGTTTGTTTTCTCTGTTAATATTTTGCTATAAATTTGCACCAATAGCGTTCAATGAAGCATCTGTTGTTAAAGTTAGCACTGTGTTTTCATCATCACTGAGGTAATTTAGTTTTACAAAGTTCACCAAAGATTTCTTTGCTTCTTGAAAAACATCTAAGCAGGATCTTGAATTAAAACTTTTGCACTCTTTTTCTGAGTGCTTTTTAATATGTCTGTCAGTGGGGCTAACTTTGAACAGTGTGGCAAAAATCTTCAATAGTAATTTTTTTTTTTTTTTTTTTTTTTTGGCCATGCATGATACATGCTTAGGCAATTATGTATCTTTTGATACATGACTGACGAGGCAGATTTTTTTCCCGCAGTAGGTTGCCATTTCTTTCTGTGGTAAACCAGTTGCCATCCAAGTCTAACCTGCTATTTAACCTGGTCTAACCTGCTATTTACCCATAGCTGGGAGGAGAAGAGGAGGATTCATACCTTTCCCAAGAGTATTAGCATGTAAGTGAATGTAATGGATTTGATTGGAATTCAAACTCGGGTGTCTGATTTCTCAATCCGAGCTGCTATGCACCGGGCCTATCATGCCTATAAAACTTCAAAGTTGACGAGTTGACTCTGGTTATGGGAAATTTTTTATAACAGCTATCTTCTCAAGTAGAGGTGATATTTCTGTTTTGTCTATTTTGTTTCCTAAAAATGAAAGCTTTTTTTTTTTTTTCTCACTAAACATGCATTTATTGATGTTAATTTTCAGTTCAAAATGCTGTTGGTGTTCAAAAACAAGTTGGAGATGTTCTATGTGTTTGTTCATATTTTTGCAAAAGTGAAAGATAAACCTCAATAGTTTATCAATCAACCTTTGAAAAGACTGGGTAACATTTCTTAAACCAAATGGCATTCTGGTGAATTCGAATAAACCAAAAGTGGTGGTGTTAGCAGTCTTTGGTATATTGTTTTCTTTGGCTCAGATTTGGTAGTACACCTTGATTAAGGCAAGTCTGGTGAAAAATTTTCATAATCCTACCATGAAATCATGTATATGTGGGATATGGTAGCAATCTCGGATTGTTGATGTGTTTAGTTGTCGGAAATTGCCACACAGGTGCCAGGCAGAAGAATCTGCTTTTGGTACCATGTGCAAGGGGGATGACCACTGGCTCTTGGAAGGTTGAATTATTCCTAGTTGCAGCATGTGCTGAAATTCTTCCTTTACCATCTTGTATTTTGCCAGGCTGAGTCTCTGTGGGGTTGAATGGATTAGTTGTCCTGTCATTTGAATGTGATGTTTAACACTGTGTAGTACTGTGTCAGTATGTTTGAATGGAGTTGTAATCCTTGGAAATTATGAACAATTTTGTGAAAAATCTTGTCTGGTAGGGCTGAGCTGATACCTGTTGAAAGATATTGGGAAGGTGTTTCATGGATTTTTAGCTGGGTTTCATTGTCTATCAGTGTTTTGGTAGGCATGTTCACTGATTGGTTGAAATTATTGAGGAAGTCTGCTCCTAGTATAGCTGTCTTCACATTTGCGAAGAACTACATCAAATACCAAAATTTAACATAAATAATTTTTCCACCATAGGTGTTAATTTTTGTACTGTTTGCGGCTTGGAGTTTATACAGCACTGGCGTTGAATTATTATCCATTGTCAGAGGGATAACGCTAATTTCCACGCCTGTGTCTACTAAAAATTCATGTCCATGACACAAGTCATGAATGTAAAATAGATGACTTTTTTCTTTTTTTTTTCTAATATCAGGATGCAGTCATCATACTGGTTGGAATATGCGTTTTCCTGTTCGGTGTTACCACTGAACCAGGAAAACACATATTTGCATATTAGGGTTTTGTATACTTTTTAGTATTAGTACCAAATTTGTGATGATATCAACATATTCTGGCGTTGTGGCTGCTATGTTTGTTTCGGCTGGAATCTCATCTGTGATAAAATATTCTCAGGCAAGATATGAGCTTTGAGAAAACTCCTCATGTGTCTCAGAAGTTGAGAAGGTGTCCTATTTTCAATTGAGACATTGCTAAAAAGACTTGACAATTTCTTTTCGGATTTTCCAGTTTGGTATAATATTGTTTGTCTCAGCATGTCATATGGATTCTCTTTGGGTACTGTGTTTAACAAGTTGAGAATTTTGTGGGCAAACTCAGTTGGAAGCCTTTAGACAATGTAGGAGAATTTTGTCTTTTGCGAAGTTATTTTTCTTGCTGTGAAAATCTGTATATCCAGTGGGTTGAAAGGGCATAACTGTAATTTTAATGTGGTTTCAATTGGTCCTTTCATGGAGGAAGAATGCGGTATTAGCTTATTATAACCATTGATGAAAGAAAAAGATTAAGCTGTGAAGTGAACGTAACTTGGCTGGTAGGTAGTAATTATAGCAGTCTGCCAAAATTCTATGCACAAGTTGCTCTGAGCCATGAAGAAATTTTCTTTTTTAACTAATTTCCTTTTTCAAAATGCCTATTTTATATATATATATATATATATCCAAGAAAACATCACGTTGTTGTGACCACTTTGTTGCAGGCATATATTCTTTTGATGAAGTTGTAAGCTCTTGGTACATTTGACCTGCTAACAATTTTGGTGGACTTTCAGATTTGTTAACCATTCACTCTATTTGCTCAATTCTTGCCAGTAGTATATCTTGTCAACTTATATCTATAATTCTCAAAATGTGTGTGTATGTGATCAAATGTTGTTTCCACAGTTTTCATCAGATTTTGATGAGTTTTTTGTTTGATAGATAATTCTTTAGTGCCAGTTTTGAGTCCAAATTGCAGATTCTCCTTCTCTTGGCCAAGCAATCATCTTTTTCAAGTGAGGTTACCTTTTCTGTTGCATAAAGCCTACTACTCTAGTTTTAAGGTGTTGCTTTCATTGTCGTTTATAGCTGCTCCTAATTTAATTTTTTTTATTGTCCTACCAGTTTTTGTATTGCATTCACCATAAGTAATAAGTAAACTTGCTTTTTTATTACTCAACATTTATTTTTCCAATCTTTCCTAAAGTTATTCGAGCTTAGTGATCCCTGTAGCTTTACAGCGTTCTCTTCTGGTATTTGCCCATGCATTCCGTTTGACAATTCATACTTGCCTAAGACATACCACCAAAGAAAAGAACTTGCCTAGGTTGCAAAACTGCTGCCACCAAGTCCGCCATGCGAATAAGAGATAAGGAATCATCTTTAGAACGTTCAGCTTAACTGTCTCAAAATGCCTCTCGGAATGCTTCAATCAGAGCCACTGAGTCCAAAGATCAATGTAGCCATCGGTTTTCCAGAAGAGCATACCTGAATAATCAAAGGACTCAATGGCTGAGGAGAAACACCTCTTCAACTGTTGCTGTGCGTGAGGCTGAAACAAGGTTGAGAACGCAAAAAAAGGCCCTTTTCAGCATGATCTTAATAAATAAATGTTTTCTATTATTAAAATGGTTTAATTCTTTTTGATACTATAAAGTGATTTGTTTCCATTCTCAGATTTGAAAAGAAAATAGGCAGAATAGGTCACTAAAAATTACCTGCCTTTTATAGAACTGGTTCTTGAAAATCTAGGATGTCACCACTTTTTCTCTGTAGACTCAAAGGATGAATTTTCAAATTAACAAGTACCCTTTTTGCGTATTTGAAATTTATTTTATTTGTTTTGTGTGTGTGTGTGTGTGTGTGTAAAATACTCTTTTTTTTTTTCCTTTTTGATCCCTATAAAAAAAACCCCCAAAAAACTGACATTTTATTGATTTATTGTGTATAATTTTATTTTTCACCTTTTTGTTATATTTACAGCAAGAGAAGAATTGAAAGAGCTCACAAAGCAGTATGAAAAATCAGAGAATGACTTAAAAGCACTACAGAGTGTTGGCCAGGTAAAGTGTGCTTGTTTTAAAAAGATTTTAAATTCTTACATCCTTAGACCCAGCACAATAAGTTCTTTGTATGATAATTCATTATCTTATTAATTAAGACCAAAATTAATTAAGAAATTCACTTATGTGTAAATACCCTTGGGAAAGGTATGAATCAATCTCTTCTCTCTCGAGCTAGGGATCCAATAGCAGGACAGATTGGATCCTATAGCCTTGACTTGACTGACATTTCTTGGTAATTTCACTACTTTGTTTTAGTTGCTTTTTTTATTTTTGAAATAAACATGTCTTTTTCTGCTTTTACTTTTATTTCTTCCAGTGTAACTGGTACTTTGTGTACTACATTGCATAATTTTAATTTCTATTTCACTTTTTAATGCTGTAATAAGCATCCTCTAATGGTTCGGTATTTTTTGGTATCAATCTTTTTAAACTATCAGCATGTCCTAATTTTTTGGACAATTGGCATTCCATCATGAAATTGTAATTTAATAAGATGAAACCCTAGCGTTGTAATCTATTTGGTGTATGCATAGGAGTTCTCTTTTTTTTTTTTTTTTTTTTTTTAAACCATAAATTGATAAGTTGAAGGTCTGTGTGCAAATGGAAACTCCTTCCGTGTATAAATTTTGAAATTTTTTCACTGCAAATATTGTTAACGCCTCTTTTTCGATCTGGCTGTAGTTTTTTTTTTTTCTGCTGGTAGTAGCAAATGCAAAGCATATGCAACAACCTTCATGTTACCGTCATCATATTTATGTAGAATTACTACTTCTACACCATAGTCACCATCATCTGAAGCCAATATGATATCTGCTTTTGGATTGTAGTGCAGTAATGATAAATCTGACATTAGTATTTTCTTAATTTCTTGAAACGCCCTTTGACACTTGATGCCATTTTGTTCAGTGGAACTCTTGAATATTCGGTATATAAATTTGATCATAGTTTGCTAGTACCAGAAATGCCAAGTAAGGTTGGTTGGAGGAGACATATTCTTAATTGCACTTGCCTTTGGCAGATTTGGTTGATGACTACTTTTGTCAATGATTTGTCCTATGTACTTGATTTTTTAGGTAAAAACAATTCACTCTTTTCCTCATTGAGTTTGAACCTGTACTCTTGTATTTTTCAAAAACTCTTTTCACGTGCCCAATATGTTGTTCCTTAGATACACTTTTAATTAATATATCATCCAAATAAGCAACTGCGAAATCACATTCTGCAATGGTTTGGTTGTTATAGAGGACTTTCATGTTTGGCAGTTAAAAGTATAAAAATTTTTTATGAATCTGTAATTAATACAATCATTTTTATCTAAAGTTCCAATGAGTGAGAAATCATGAAACTCGAGAGCTGACCTCCAATAAGAATTGAACTTTATTATTTTTGATTCAATAATTATTGCTTTAGAAAATTATTGAGCAGAAATTCTGTTTGCCTTGATATACATTGGATTATATTATGTAGAATGGTTGTTTAACCTTCTCTAAATTATTATCAAAATCTGGACTTGTCCATCTGCTATGAGTAGAATGTCTGCTCATAATAAGTGGGTTGCTGAATGTAGCATTTGTGTTGTATGCTTTGCCATACTGGACTATGGTATTCTTTATTACAGTTTTATTAATCCATGTCTCTCATCATTAAACCTGTTCTTCACTCAGCATTTGTTCCAGTGTTTCCTTACAGTATTATTAACCAGAACTATGGGCATTATAACAATTTTATGTATATCAGTAAGGAGCATCATTATCATTATGTTGTATATGCAGATACCTTGGTAATGAATAATATTCCTATGTAATTTTTAATTTTAGATTGTTGGTGAGGTTTTGAAGCAACTAACAGAAGAAAAATGTAAAGTTTTTTTTTTTTTTTTTTTTGCACAAGTTACAAAATAATTTTTATATTTACTGTGTCCGTCGATTTTAGTATTTGAATTATTATTATTATTAATGAAATGAGATTTATATTATATATATATATATATATATATATATATATATATATATATATATATATATAGTCAATGATGAAATTATTTGTACACCCATCAATTTTGAATATTTTTTTATCCATTTCCTAGAATATGAGGCCAGGTTTTTTATGTTAATAAGCACAGAAAAAGGAATATAAAACTCAAATTTCAGAACAATAGGTTAAATACAACAAATTTGACAGGCAAATTATGCAAAATGGGAAAAGACAAAATTATTCGTACAGTAGAAAATATTTTAAATTGATTGATTCATATAAGTAATTTACATAGTTATTTTATTGGTGAAGACCTCTAGACTTTTATTCAGTAGAATGTTTGTGATATGAAAGGGAGCAATCTACCTCCATGGATTGAATAAAGTGTTTTGTTCAAAATTCTTGTGAGGTTACCATTTATGAGATGCCTTAAGAAGGTTGGATGGTACAATGTCTGAAACCTTGTGACAATGATAGCCAATATAAAGACACTAATCTTAACAAATTAGTGTATAATACTGTATGTATAATAGTTTTATTTCTCATGGGTATGGTATGTGGCTGAGTGGTTAGAACATTCACTTTCTGGCCATAAGGCTCAGATTTGAATTTCACTATTGATTTTTCAGGATGGTCACTTTTTGATGTTATTTGCCCATAGGAGGCAATCCCAGCATGTGTCACCTTAGGAAAGTGCCTGAAAATGATAACATGGGTTAGTCCAAGACTTTTTGAATGATATTGGATAGACAGAAGTGTTCATCAATGATTGTGCTAGCAAAAAATTACAAGACATTGTAACCGAGGGTTTGGGTATACTGGCCTTGTTCAAACTGTTGATAATGCTAGATGATGGACTCTCACTCCTAGAAACTCTAAGGTCTGTTCAGTATAGTTGCAGTATAAACCACAGGTGGGCTCTGAGTGTTGAACAAAACACAAATGTGCCTGAACATGAGTCTGCAACAGGGATTGGTTAGCTACATAGCAGACAGGCATACTCAGTTATAAGTGGCCAGCCATTGATATATTTTTATTTCTATACAAATATTTAACCATGCCAAAAAGTAAGAAGAAATGTAAAGTCCAAATATAGTAAAATGATGTTATAATGGGGGGGGGGGCGTTCATTTCTTGGCTTCTTGAATTGTCTTTAAAACCAAATTTTATTTATAATGATATTTTATAACATGCCTGTGGTCTTCCTTCAATCTTACATTTTTTTATTTTTATGGGAATTGGTAAATTAATAAACACATCTCAATACATTAAGTGCAAAATCTTCAAATCAATAAAATATTTTACATTAAATTGTAAAAATTTGAATTTTGTATCAAAGTTTGTATCTACAAGAATACATGTTTGTTTAATGGATAAACCAATTTACTCTAAATTCCTCTAAAAAATGCACCTTAATTTATACAGCTGCAAGTATTTTGTTCTACAGTCTAATGACACCAAGTTGACAAATGTATATTACAAATCAAGTTTCCTTTTTAAGGGTTGAAATTGAATTTGTTGTTTGTGTATAAAATGTGAAGTTTTCTGCCTTTCAGTGCTTAATAAAACTTTTGACTGAATTGTCTACTAAAAGTATTAAAAGATAGATATACTTTGATATTATATCTTTTTGAATACGTGCACACTAAAAATACTTATCGGAGGAAACATTAAATGAGATTATCACCCCTCTGTCTCTTGAACAGGAGTAGAGATTTATTCCTTGTTTCCTGTTTAGAATTTGGTTTTCAGTTCCTTCTGAAGTCTCTTTCATTTTCTTTCACTCTCAGTAGCCCCTTGCATCTTAGTGGCATTATTGCCTTGTTTGAAGTGAATTGATTTAAAAAAATTGCAAGATGTAAATATGAGAAGTGACTTTGTCATTGTATCTTTTCCTATAATTCACCAAATGTGTTTTTTCTTCATCTGTCATTACATAACTTAAGGGTAGCTAGTGCTATGGCCAACATTTTCTATGGCTACTGAGGAATGTTTTTAGCATATTAGTTTATTTTAAATTCTTTTGATAAGGAGATTAGTTTACAATGTAAGTATAATTTTTAAAGTGTGTCCTTTCTTTGTGTCTCTAATGTTAATTAAACTAAATCGCTTTCAGTTAAATATATATTAGGTTGCATCAAAAGTTTTTTTTTCATATTTCCAGTTTTAATTAATAGTTCAAACTATATACAAAAAAGTGTTAATTTATCAAAATATATCCCATCATATTCCATTGTCTGTTGCTATCATCGTGCCAGAAGCTCAATTCCATGCTTAGACTAGTTGGCTTGTTTAAAGACAAAAAAAATTCCCTGAACATGTTTTCAACCTCATCCATATTGTTGAACCTTTATCTGTGCAGGAAATGATATGGCTAATCTCATGGTGCAAGGTCTAGACTGTAGGCAGGTTGAGCATCACTTTCAGCCCCTTCAGTTCCTCATATTGGTAGTGTGTGCTCTGGTATTTTCATGCTCTAGGGGTTTGTGTCCTTGATTGACCAATGCTGGGTAGCAGGCTTTTAAAGCATCATATATTTATTGCAGTTGTTGAGCATAAAGGTCAGTGTTCACAGTATGACCCATGTGGGACAAGCTCAAAGTGTAACACACCCTTCAAATTCCACCAAACACACAGCATGACCTTCTGTTCAAACTGCCCTTGTTTGATAACAGTTTCTGAAGCCTGGCCAGAATGAATCACTGATTTCACTTATTAAGATTATGAAAATAGATCCATTTTTCATTCCCAGTTACAATTTGACACTAAAAATGGACATCATGAGAATTTGTCAGCAGTTGTTTGCAAATGTTCCCATATTGTTGAGCCTGGTCAGTGGTCATTTCATAAAGAAATTCTCAATTAGCATCTGTTCCCAAGGCTGAACTTATGAAGATGTTGATTGATGGTGCTTTGTAAGGGGCAAAGTTCTGCTGACAGTGTATGTTTGTTTATGCTTGTCTGTTGTTTAAGCAAGGCCTCATCTTCCACAACAGAAGGTCTTCCTGAATGGTGTCACCTTCCTTGAAATGTCTGAACCATTTTTGTGCCACACATTCATTGACAGTTTTTACACCTTTCACATCATTAACTTCTTTTGTCACTGTCCTTGCACTCTTTTTTTCCACAGGTAGTGTAAAATGGCTCAAGTTTCAATACTCCTTACCAAAGTTATAAAATAATGAATAAGCAATGTTTGTTATATATGAAAATAAAGAATAAACAATTCAGCAATGATTGGACAAGTTCAGTCAAATTAAGTTGCCAAAAATCATCAGTGGAAAAGAAAAAGAAAAAAAAATTGACTCAACCTAGTAAAACAGATATCGAGTTTAAAATTTACTAACCAGGAACTAGTTTTAAGCTTTTCCCTATGATTTCTTTTTTCTGGTAAGCAGAAAATCAGTACTTAAAAATAGTCATGTTACTGAATTTACATTTATAGTACAAGCAATAGCTACAAGAGAGCTGTAATATTAATCCCTTGATGATGTTTATTAACTTATAAGTTCTTATAAAAACAATTTGGTGTTATTCCTATATTTATTACTGTAATAAAAATCCTGTAAAAAAGAAAAAAATTAGATTTTTAAAAAGTGTAATACTTAAGCTCTTTTGTGAATCCTAATATTTAAATTACTGTATTTTCTGGCTTACAAGACGCTGCGGCTTGGAAGATGCACCCTAATATTGGAAAGAAAAGTCATTCTCATAAAACACAGTCACTATGCATCCCTCACATACTGGTGCCACGTATTGTTTACATTAATCACTTGTCCGATTTTGTTTGTATGGCAATGACACACTAGTCAAGAGCAGAAAGGCTCCCACCACTGCTAGCAAACAGAGCATGTTTAAGCTTGTGGCTTAGCTCCAGGAAGGTTTATAATCTTTGAAATACTTGTAACAGCTAAGTACTGAGATTACATCATATAAAAGGCTGAATTAGATAGCTGACATTATAGTGTAATGATTCTATATACAATCCACATTCCTATCGGTCAAGCCAATTAGGTGACCATCCAAGCTTACTTGCGCTTGGGCGCTACCTTACAGTTGTTTTGGAAGACACATTTGTATTTTTCAGGAAAAAAGTGTCTCGTAAGCTTCAAAATATAGTAAATATGATCCAAATTATTGGTCACATTTTCTTTTGGTTATGGTTCGGATTCTGAAAGTGATTGTATATAATGCTGCTGCTTTGGAATACTGTCTTAATATATTGACACTCTTATGACTGTTGGATTTGGTTCTTCTGTTGGATTTGGTAGCTGCTGATATTTATGTGTCTAAGTCGGTTATTTCTGTGGACATTTCCTGTTGATATCAGTTGTTTTGCTTGGCATTGAAGGCAACTCACAACTTACTAATACAGTATTGTGGTTGGTGAGAATTGAAGTTCAGAGACTGCCTGTTAAATATCAGTATGTCGAGAAAGATCCATTTATTTTCTCCCTTTTTACCAAAACATGAAATGATCTTATAAAGTTCATAGGATTCAACAAAGCTTACCTGGTGGGATCAGTGGCATTTAAGGATTTTGACCTGATGCTGTTGTCATTAAAGACATCTCTTAAAGTTTATATAAAGGTTAATGGAAAAGTTTCCAGATATTTGTTTTTAACATTAAATCTTTATATAAATTCATAGCATAATTATTAAGTTATCAAAATATTTTCTTTGGTTTTCTATAACCTTAGGAAGCTACTTTTCAAGTAAATTGTGTATTCCATCATGAAAGAACAATTCTGGTTTTGATTTGATGAATTCTTCAAAGAATTTTTCAGTGTCTTAAACTTATTGGAACTGCTGACTTGATAAGAAGCATTGCATATAACAAATAAAATGATACTCAGAATCAGGTTTGGAGAATATACTGCATGTTGGAAAATTTCTCATCCTAGCAATATGAGAACTGGTGTTGTCATGCAACAAAATCACAAACTTTAGTACCCAGAAAAAGGTCATTCAAACAAGGCAATTGCTCATAGCATTAGGCAGAAACTGATATTAGAATTCTCTTGAATTTCACAAAACTGAAAAATTATTTAACTCTCCTCTTTTGATATTTTCATCAGTAGATTCTTTGTAGATTGAAATGTTGAAGGTTATCCTAGACATAGTCCCAATTTTCTTTCATTAGGATTCTTTCAGTAAATCTGTTTTTCTTCACCAATCAAATATATTGGCAAAAAATGACTTTTAAATGCTGATCAAGTTTCCTTTCTATAATTTCATGTGGAGATGATTTTCTTAGCTTCTGAATTTTTCCTACATAAAAAGCCAAGTAAACTTCAAATGTACTTTCTAAAATTTCCTTTACATTGTGCAAAAAATTGCACTGTGAGCTTTGCATCAATCTAATAGATGTTTTCTGCTACAATTTATTATTAAATCACTTTTTTTTTTTTTTTTTTTTTTTGTTATATTGTTATGGTCTATCTACATGATATAATCAGAACAGAATAGAAATATTGCAATTAGCTTGCAGTAAATTGAAAACTTTATTTTAAATTCTCTTATACTACATTCTATTATAGAAAAAGGTGATTAATGACTATAAAGTTTATTTTAACACCATTTCTTTTAAATTTAACTGTGCTTTAATACTTCATTAAAATTTTATATTTAATTTTGCATAGTTATTGTAAAAGCAACAAATGGACCAAGATATGTGGTTGGATGCCGACGACAGCTTGATAAAACCAAGTTGAGACCTGGTACTCGAGTGGCCCTGGATATGACTACTCTCACTATTATGCGGTAAAGTATAAAACTTATTTTTATGAAATATTTCAATAATGTTGTTCATGATGTGATTAATATGAATTTCAGGTTATCTTTTTCTTGTTATTACTCATAACTATATTAAGAATTTACTACTTGTGCTCTTAAAATTAAAATATTTTGATTTATGATATTATTGCATCTAAATAAAGCAATCCTTGTACCAGACATGGCAGCCATATGACTGGGGGGTGAACATGTGGAGACCAAATAACAATTACAGAAAACATTTTTAGTAAGGAGCTTGTTAGTAATGTCCAGTAATTAGTTAATTAGCAACTATATATAATATCAGGAAACATCTTACAATTATGGACTTACTTTCAGAAATTCAAATGTACAAAGAAAGAACAAAAATACCATAAAATAACTAAATGCACAAAAATCACTTTATTCACCATAAATTAGACATTTTTTAAGTAATATTGCAAAAATAATAAGTTAATTTGTTTATGCTAATTGATTACAGAAAATATAATTGTATAATACAATCAGAAAGCAATTTCATCATTTTACAAAATTGTGTATCTGAAAATACTTTACAAAAAATCTGAAGTTCAGAGAAACAATAATTTTGATAATCTTCACAAAATTTATTGTGATTTTTGTTACATGTACAATTTATTTCACAGAAGATGAAGAAAATACTTATTTTGCTGTGATACAATAATAGATAGTACCAATACACATAGTTTTAAAAATTAAAATCAATTTACATTAACAAGAACACAAAATTAATAAACAGGATAATTTGGGGAGTTAACCAATTAAATATATATAAAAAGAGAGATAATTGAAAATGAAAAATATGTGGTATCCCTGTGATATCCAGTGGAATTTTTAAATTGCTACACTATTTCTTTCAAAGATGTTCATATTCTTGAAAGTAAAAACTCTTCTGTGGACAATCTCTTCTTGTAACATAGCCTGCTATATACAAAAGTGACATTGTAATATCTTTAAGGATCCTAGTTTCAAGGTCTGGTAAGTTATCAAATGCTTGGCATCCCTTTTCATCCAGCAAATGTCCACATTTTGAGCAATTATGGTCTGGATCAAAGTTGTATTCTTTGACTTCACCATTTAATTTTAAGAAGTAGTTTTAGTTTTTTCAATATTATTTTGAACTGTTATAAAATATGCACCTTCAGAACTTTCATTTTCCAAATAGTCTTTGGTAAATTCACCAAGCATAACAGAATTAAACCCACTATTTAGCAAATATCTACAAACATCAATTAAGTCATTGCATGTACGTTCAATGGTTAAAGTAATTTCTCTTGTTAATGATTTCATTTTTTTTTCCTGTTCTTTTTCTAATTTTTCCAGAATTAGAAAGAAATAATAGATGTTCATCATCTAAATCTGATATCACCTTTTCCAGTGGATCATTTTTCTTAGTATCACTATATATTTCTTTGACACAGACAATTTTCCAAAATTTTAACTTTTTCAATGAAATTAACTGTTTTTGCAGTATCCCCCCCATTTAATAATGTGTGTGTTTTAATCCCAGCTACAGTTTGATCACAAAAAACTTTTAAACAATGGGAAAAATTTTGTCACTCAACAGGTTTTGATTAAATTGCTACATCAGCTTTGACAGCTTAATGAATTTATTTTTTTTCATACTTGAAAAGACCTTTTACAATTTCCTGTTTTGCCGTCATCTTTTTTGCCTTCAGAATAAAACAATAATTCAGAAGTAGGTTCAGTAATCCAATTATTTTGAATATTTTTAAAAGGGTGGACATAATCAAAAAGTAAATACAAGCAATTTTTAGTTATCCAAGGCTTATTAAAAACAGTGTCAAATTTTTGGGGAAAAAAAAGATTACTTGCTCTTGTTATTGTCACATACAATTGCAATTACTTTGCTTGCCTCAACAATATCAAAATTTTTCACATAATAAAAAGTTGCCTGTAATTTTGCAACTGGGATCGTTTTAAAAATCATTTAATTTTGAAACTCTTGAAATTCTGATGCCAAAGCTGGTAATGTTCTCACACTGGGTAACTTAAACTCATCCTGAAGCTTGTTATATAATGACAGAGATGTTACAAAGTATTCAAATGTCCTGATAAGAATATCAGAATCAATGTTTTGTCTCAATCCTTTGCAGTGACATAACATTAATATACTCTTTCAAAATTTTTTTCTTATCAATTTTTAAGTTACTAAGATAAAAATTGCTTCATTGGTTTGTGACCAGTGCTGAAACTGATAATCAACTCTTTTTTTTTGAAAGAGAAAAAATTGTTGTATGTATACCAGCATGGTAACATTCAAATCTCAAGTTTTCAAAGATTTTAATTAAAAACATTGGAATAATTCCAGTGAAAAAAATCAGTAGATTGGATGAACAGATGATTGTTTGATTTATAGCATGTAACTGCTCAGACAAAATCCTGTTGATCAATATTCTGATACAATTTTAAAAAAGTGAGGATTTTGTCCTTTTCTAGAAACTCTGCCAATTCGTCATTTTGCACAGAAGTAGAAGTTTTGTTTGTTGGATTTTGGTTGAGAACTAGATAATACACTTATGATCAAATATTGATGGTTGATTTCTGGATTATAGCTATGTAATAACCTCTGTTTCATAATCAGATGGAAAATGCCTTTCATAAACAAGTGTTTGATTTGTCAGGGGTGTTGTCTCAAGATATCACCTTTTTAACCATTGTTTTCACTCCGTCTGATCTTGGGGTAGACAAAACACACAAACCTTATTTTCTTAATCATAATTACCATGACAACCTGTTACACAGTACTTTTTTACCATTTTGAGAAAGATTTTGGGGTACTGAAATTAAAAAATATTAACTTAAACTATTATTTTGTAAAAATGACATGGTGCTATAAAAAGTGTATGAATCTTATATTCTAAAGTCTGGAGGGTTTAGTATTCAGAATTAAGTATTTTAAAGTTTGTATGAAAGTGGGAGTCTGTCATCTTATGTTACTTCTTATTGTCTTTTAGGAGTTATGTGGTTCGAAAAGATTTCCAAATTGTTTCACTGGTCAGGGTTCATTTTTTGTTGAAGTTACATAGTGAACTGAACCTCCCTCATTAAAATTTTTGATAATTGCATTTTGCTGATTGATCATCTCCTCCCCCATAAAATATGATTATTTAAACAAAATTAACCAGTTTAATAGTTTTACATTAAAAAGAAAACAAAAAAAAAGATAAACTGGTTAATTTTTATTTTACATTTTTAACAACAAAAATTTCTAGTAAAATTCATACTTTTTTTTTTATTTTTTTTTTTTTTTTTTAAATAAGTCTGTAAATAATTTAAAAAAAAATTAAATCTGTGTTTGTTATGGTGAATAATATACAAAAAATATTGAATTAAGTTTTTATTCAATTTTTCAAATGTGCAAATTTCTGTATGCGAATTTTGGAAAATTAGCAGAGCAAAAGATTACATTCATTTTTTGTTTTCTTACGATGGTATCAACATACTTCACATTATAAAAAAAAAAAATTATTCCTTAAAAAATGAATTTTATAATCAAGACATTTGTTATTATGAAGAATAATAGCAGAAAGAAAAAAGTAAATTAACTTTCTGTGAGAAAATTCTTAATGAAATTTTTATTTGTGAATTTCGCTGTTTAAGATAATTTGCAAAAATGTAAAAAAGCGAAAGATGATATTGACAAGACAATGTCTTCTCTTTTACAGTTTTGTGGTATATTTTTAATAGTTGTAAAATATTAAATTTATTGAATTTAATTTTTGACATTAACTTTGTGATAACTTAAGTATCATTTTTCATTAATTTTGCAGTGAAAAACATTAGCTTTGTTTTTAATGTCTTCTGTTTATTTACAAATGATGGAAAAATTCAACATACTTTTTAAAAAAAATATACCTGTTTGTTCTGTTAAAGAAAAACATTGTTCATTAAAAAAATTATTTTAAAAAAAAACTTAATTTCTTAATCCAATTCCTGCAACAAACTTTCATGTGTTAACAATTTGTCCCCAGTCCCTGAAGATTTACATGCGCTGTTAGGCTTGAGTTAAAGATTGCCTTGCATCTAACCCAAACTGTCTTATTGAGGTGAAACAAAAACAACCAATTATATATCAGACTTAACTGAGATGATTTATCTAATTTTTCTTTTAATATTTTTTGAAGAGAAAAATATGTGTGAAAATTGTAGAGTGGGTGGCCATAGTTAAATGTAAAATAAACAGAACTGTCTAAGTTTGTAATGAGCAAGAAAAAGAAAAGAAAAAGGCAAAAAATAATATAAAGCAAGTAAACAATATATGCAAGGCAAAGCAACAGTAATATTGCAAAAGATTCTCAAACTAAGAATTGGGATTGACACACAAGAGCAAGTTTGGATAAGCAACTAGCATTCTGACTTCAAAAGAAGATGACCTGACCTACTTTATTGACTAGGAAGAAATCCCAGCATGCATTTGTATGTTTCTGCCTAAAAAAATTGTGGTGTGGAGTGTTTTGCAGTCAATCTTATCCAGGATTGGAATCAACAAAAACCTTTTTTACTTTCTCATTATGTCATCCTTTCATAAGGGCTAATCACTGATTTTTCTTTTCTTTTACTTAAGCAATTTTTATTAACAACACTTTCTTTATAATGTCTAAACAGATAAATACTTGTTACAATTGAGTTTTATTGAAATTAACTAAGCATTAGCCATGAGAATCAACAATGTGTATTGATATGTTTTTTTTTCTAATTTTATTTTACTATTGATTTACAGATATCTTCCAAGGGAAGTTGATCCTTTGGTTTATAATATGTCTGTTGAAGATCCTGGTGAAGTTAGTTATAATCAAATAGGTGGACTTGGAGAACAGATCCGAGAACTCAGAGAGGTAATATTTGCTCTTGGTCTTGTGTGTGTATATATATATATATATATATATATATATATATATATATATATATATATAGAGAGAGAGAGAGATAGAGATTTCTGTCAGAAATCTTACATAATTCTTGGTTGTTTGTCTTTTGAGCAATACAAGTATAGAAAAGATCTATATCTATGTTTTATAGATTACACAAAAGCATTTTATAAAGTGCCACAGAAGAACATAAAATGTTTAGAGAGTTTGATTTACATGGAAAAGATTCAAATAATCTGTAATCTTTACTGGGAACAATTTTTTTTTTTTTTCCAATTACAGGAATTAAGAAGACAGAAGATAATGATTGTCATTGCATTTAACTTTTTGAAGATCAATATTGACTGGAAAGCAAGAAGCCAGAAGAGTTCCACAAGTTAGAGGTGTGATAGAAGAAACTGTTAGCTTATTTTATATTCTTTTTGTTAAGTTACATGTAACTATTTCAACTGTTAAATGATGAGATCTTGGCACCAATCTAATATTGTGCTTAAATCCATAAAGTTTGGGTATCAGAGTTCATCAGATCAATTACCATGAAAATATTTATAAAAAAGGCACAGGGAATCTGTATTATGACTGTGAGAAAGTGACTGAAGCTGAGATGCCTGGTCAGGACTAATAACATTGCAGGTGTTTATGCAGATGGAGGATAAGCTTAGTGAATACACAAAAACAGAAAATGGAATATGAGAAAGGGAATTTTTTTTTTTTTTTTTTAATAAACCTGTGCAACAAAATGATTCAAAGACCCTACCAGAATTTATTATCAGCTGACATAACCTTTAACAACATGCACTATGCAGATGACTCTGTTGAGGGGAAAATTCATAAAGAAAACTTAAAGAACCTGTTTGTAATAGTTTGAAGAAAGCACGAAAGGACTAAACATTAACTAAAAGAGTTGTCAGCAAAAGTGGTGTGAGTTATGTGTTGGTGATGCCAAAATCGGACAGATATGAAAATTCAAATCTCTGTCTAGTACAGAACAGACAGTGGAAAGTGTAACACACAAATTTGCAGAGAAATGGTAAAAATGCTTTTAGAAAGTGGGCAAAGTATTAAGGATTTAGAAAATATCCTTAGAAACTGCTTTGTAACATCTAATCTATGTGGCAATTAATGCTAGACAATTTCCTCACAAATGAAAAAAAAGATGTGGTTCTACCAATGAATTATGAAGATGCCATGGAGAGTCTTTGAGAAATTAAATTTTAGAGATAGTAGTAATGGTAATGGATATTATCCATTTCCTTAAGGAACTACAAAGAGACAGCTGAAATTTTGGAGACATAATGACAGAAAAGGCTTGAAGAATTTAACATTTACAACATATATTGAAGACAAGAGAAATGAGAAAAACTGCAAGAAAACTTGATAAATTTGAGTAAATGGATGTCATAAGCAAGATTTACTTAGAGTAACAAAAGGCAGGAAGTTGTGGAGTGCTATGATCACCCACATAAAACTACATGAAGAAAGAGAATAATGTAAATAAGCTATGACATAAGATTTAAATTTGTCTTCTCACAGTTAATAAAAAATCTTTTTTGTTTAACTACATCTGTTAAGAGATTGCAATATGCTCTAACAATTACTTTTAAAAATATTTTTTTTCATGTATGTATACATTGAATTAAATTTTTTTTTTTTTCTTCAAATGTTTTATGAAAGAAACATAAGGAAAAGATAATCTTATATATTAAGATTTTTCAGTCTATTTTCTAACATTGAATATAACTAAAGTTTTTTTTTTCCTTCATAGGTCATTGCTATTTTATATTTTAGTTTAATTAAAAAAATGGGGATATGGACAAAACCTATTTTAGAAAGTTACTAGAAAACTGTCTGGAGATGAAGTGTTATTTTAAATCCTGTTGATAAAGAATTTGTAAAAGATAGGAAATAAAGTTACTTAATGAGTTTGGTAAGAAAAAATAATTTTTAAAGAAAAAGGAATGTTAAAAATGATAAAAAATATGTGGGTGGAAATGAGATGATAGGTACAAAAACATTTTTTCCTTTTTCTTTTCTACCTCTTTTGCTAAAAAAAAATGATTCTTTTTTAAATTTCTTTAATCTTCAGTGAAATATTTTTATGACTCATTTTTGTCCTACTGTTAAAAAAAATTATAATTTTTGCTCTTGTAAAGTTTCTAACATTTTTTTTTTGTATAAAGTGTTAGAATTGTTAGTTTATTTTGAAAAATATTTGGGTTTTATTTCTTTCACATGATTTATCAATTTTACATGTAGCTGAGTTATTATTCTCTCATCTGTAGATTTGATTGCAGTTGTCAATCTAGATTTAATCACTTTCAGCTCAGCATGCTTATAAGATTGCCAAACTGGTTGATGTATCTTTCAGGTTATTGAATTACCACTTATGAACCCTGAGCTTTTTCAACGTGTTGGGATCACTCCACCAAAAGGCTGCTTACTTTATGGACCTCCAGGAACAGGCAAAACCCTTTTAGCACGTGCTGTGGCTAGCCAGCTTGATGCTAATTTCTTGAAAGTGAGTCAAATTTATAAAAATATTTTTCTATATCCTTCAATGATATCAGTAATTTTGTTTACTTACTCTTAGGTTATTTGCTCTCAGTTTTAAACATTCTTTTTATTGCCTTTTAAAATAGATGAAATTTTTTTAACCACAGATCAGGGTTGCCAGATTTGACTATATCATTTGATTTAACTTAGCACTACTAAATTTTAAATCAACTATCTTGTTAGTAGCCCAAATTAGCCAAACTTAAAACTTAGTAGCACTGGTTTTTCACAAGTTCTATACTCTGTCTGAAGTTATTAAACAAATCATATAAACTTCAATAATTCAAATTTGGTTTGATAGAAAAATTGTCAAATTTTAAACAATCAATTTAGATGTCAAAACAAAGTAAGTTAAAATTTTAGGTAGTATCAATATGTTTTATTGAAGTTATTTGATATATTCTAAAAATCTGCCGTTTGAAGTTATTAGGTGAAACCAAATAATCACATTTTACTTCAATAAAAAGGTAATAAAATCATCAAAAATTGATCAACACTTATAATAGAACAAATAACAAACACATATGATAAGTCTTTGAATCCTTTACATTTTAATATAGTGACCCTTCTTCTCACTAACAGCCAGTAATCTAGCATCCATTTTGTTAATTTTTTTTACTTCAGCAGGTTCAATTTCAGGCATGATAGTTTTAATTGCTTCCTATAGGTCTGTTTTTCTGTTATATTGCTTACCAACTTTATATAATTTCATCTTCACAATGGACAATAGGTTTTCAATCTGATTCAGATCAGGACTTGATGGTGGCCATTCCATTATCTTCTTTTATGCTCAAATAATTCATGGGTAAGTTTAGATACATGAGAAGGAGCATATTGCAAAACTGGGAATTGTACCATGCAAAGAAAGTCTTGTTCATAAAACTGCAATAGTAATCACTGTTTAGTGTAACTGTTTCATCGACTTTGAATGGTCCAATAATGTTTTGTCCTTCTTGACCACCCCAATTCTAGCCTTTTCAAAGATCTGAGTGCTGCTCAAATCTTTTAAAAATAAACTTCATTGTTTTTTTGTTTTTTGTGACTAACACAAAAGGTAAATAATTTTAGATTAACTTTTATTGAAGCAAAAAACTATAGCGAGCCTTATTTTTTCAAAAATTAATTTAAATAAAATATAGTTAAATTTGTGAAACAAATATTCAACACGACTGATGTTAACTGTAAGTAATGTTTGTTTCTCCCAATTTTTATTCAACTAAAGTTTTTTTCTTTTCAAATACAAATATAACTTGAAATTTAAACATAATCACTTTTCAAAATTGAATTCTCAATGTATCTTGCTTGCTTCTACTTTCTTTCAAAATAGTAATTAAATTTATTTACAGAGAAATGTTTGCTTTAATGTTAAAAGTAAAACTTTATTTACTTAAAAAAAATCTAAATCCTCCCCCAATAAATAGTAAATAATTATTTTTTGAAGAAGCAAGACTCATTATAGTTTTTGCTTGAAATGATTAAATTAAATGCTTAAATATATCTTAATTTAAGTTTATTTACTTTTTTATTAATAATAATTTGAAAAAAAGGTTAATGAACTTTTATCTAAGTTTAATTTGTTTGAAAACAAGATTAACAGGGTATTTATGTTAGTATTTAAATTGAAAAATAGTGTCTTTTTGAATAAAAATATGGGGATGATCAACCTCCCTAAGCCACCCCACCCTCGAATGTGGTATTGGTAGTGGGGTGTTTTCATAAATTTACTTATTTTGTAACAAACCAAAAAAACAATGATGTTTATTTTTTAAAGTTTGAATAAAAAAATCATTTTCTATAAGATGGCTGAAAAATATCAAATTGTGAATAATAAACTATTATTCAGAGATCTGCTTGTATTTTACTAAGGGTGGGAATGGACAAGTTTAAATTTGACAAATATTGGTTCAGAACTTTTTGAATTATTCAGGTTTATTTGATTTGCATAATAACTTCAGACAAGCTGTAAATTATAAGAGGTTTTCATGTTCCATTAAAGTATACAGCATGTTAACAGAATATCTTGACATTTTTCTGCAAATTCCTACTTGTAAGATATAAAGTAAACCAAATATTTGTTCATCCTCATTTAAAGCATTTATCTTTATCATTAATTTTACTTGATAATTGAAATTGCTAGAACACATAATGAGAAAAGAGAGCTTGGAGAATTTGACACTGACAAGAAATATGAAAAGCAAGAGACAAGGAAATGATGAATGATGTATCTAACAAGCTTGTTAGCAGAACGAGGGGTGGAAGGTTGGTCAAATAACATTACTAAGAGCTGAAAAGGATAAGAAATTGGAGAGCCATGATAACTCCTGTCTTGAAGAGACATGGCACCTAGAAGATTGAAATGTTATTCAACTACTTATGTAAAAAGTATTTTAATTGCATTAAATAGTGAACACGTGATAAATGTATTAATTTATATTTTAATTACCTCTGCCTACAACTTGTATTCATGCATCAAAAATGGAAATGATTATTTGTATTTGCTTACATAAATGGACCAATATCTAGATTCAACAAAATTCAATGGATAACTTATTCTTAATCAAGTGAGATTCTTTTTAAAAACTGTCTGTGACTTTAACATCAAATATACCTTGACACCACTTTATTTCTTGCGGTTCAGTGGATTTTTTTTTTCTCATGTCTTTGAATTTGTTTTCCATTTGAGTAAATTTACTCAGACCTGCTTTACAGTTAATATTACTTTCTCATTATTCAGGTTGTATCCAGTGCTATTGTTGACAAATATATTGGCGAAAGTGCTAGACTTATCCGAGAAATGTTTGCCTATGCACGTGATCATGAGCCTTGTATTTTGTTCATGGATGAAATTGATGCAATTGGTGGACGACGTTTTTCAGAAGGTACTTCAGCTGACAGAGAAATTCAAAGAACTCTGATGGAAGTAAGTTTTAGATTTCATCAGCTTCTTTTAATTTATTCTAATTAATTGTAATTAAATAGCATATATTTACTTACTAATTATAACATGAAGATGCTACTATTTATGACCTTTTAACTCTAAAACTCAATTTGTTGTAGAATATATCTTCATTATTTACATTATTCGGACTATTGTCCTCATCTTTGTCGCCATATTTATTACAACATTTCGGCTGTTGCATGCTCCAGCCTTCTTCAGGTGGTTAGAATGTCGAACTGAACCCTTTATTTGACTCACTGGGGTAGACTGTTCTAGTTCCACATGCCATGTTTAATGGATGTCAATTATCAGTTATCTCCTGTTAATTTTCTTCTGAAAGTTCTCCACTGCCTCAAGGACACATGGCAGAGTGGATAAAGGTGTTAGTTAGATCCAGTGACACGACCCAAAGAGTGTGAGTTCAATACATGGCTAAGGCAGTGGAGAACTTTCATAGGGAAATTAACAGGAGATAACTGATAACTGACATCCATTAAACATGGCACATGAAACTAGAACAATCTACCCCAGTGAGTGAAATAAATAGATCAGTTCAACATTCCAACCATCTGAAGAAGGGCGGAGCACACAATGTCCGAAATGTTGTAATAAATATGGCGATAAAGATGAGCACAATAATGTAAATAATGTACATAATACCTCATCCCAGAAATATAGACAGATACTGAATATATCTTGTTTTGCAACACAATATTGTGAATATTTATTTTGAAGTTTTGAATAATTTTTGGTTACTTTTTTTTTTTCTAATAACTTTTTATATTTACTTTTAACATGAAATGATTAGTAAAGATTTGTAAAATAAATATGTAGCAAAGTGCTGGGTTGTTTAAAGAGATGTTTCTTTTAAGCTTTAAGATTATTATATTTCCTGTTAACTTTAATCAGCATGCTGCTGACTCATTTGCTCTCCCTAATTTTATTTTGTGAATTTTATGTATTATTCATTACCATGATTTTTTTTTTTTTTTTTTTTTGCCCAGTACTTTAGACATACAATATAAATTTATGTAAATCTCCATTTTTTTATTATTTACATTATTTACACTCAGACTATTGTCCTCATCTTGTTATTATCAGTGTTTCAGCCATTGTGCGCTTTAGCCTGCATCTTCAGAGAATACAGTCGCTGAAATGTTGTGACAATGACAACAAAGATGAGAACAATGAGTGTATATAAATCCTCGTCCCAAAAATTCAGACAGAAAAATCCATCTTTTTATGTTTTGAATTTTCATACTTCACTGCCTGATCCACCTAAACGTCAAGTGGCAGAAAAAAGAAACTTCATGTACTTAGACAATCCTTCTATTCCTCTGTAGTTGTTTAATTCTCTCTGCCATTTGTTTCACCTGTACTGCAGTATCAATTGTTATGAGTAGGTACAATATTTAATTTGTGTTCAAATGTATAAAGCATTATAATTTTTTTTCTGGTATAATTTATTTAAAGGAAACAAGGGTCTATAAATTGTAATTGAGTGATTTCTCTCTCTCTCTTTTTTTTTTTTTAGTTGCTCAACCAGATGGATGGGTTTGATGCACTTGGCCAAGTTAAAATAATCATGGCAACTAATCGACCTGATACACTTGACCCAGCTTTATTACGTCCTGGGCGCCTTGATAGGAAAATTGGTAATTGCAATTTTCTCCTTCCACCCAAAAGTTACTATTGGGTTGAGTCACAGATAATTTCAGTTTTTGTTTGTCAACTTTATTCTTTAAAAAATAGATTACAATTACATTTTATTCAATTATATATTCATCATTATTTGCAATGACTTGTTGCCATTTCCCAGGCAGCTCTTTGATACCTTTTGATTAAAATTTTGGAGGTTTTGGTGTGACATGGTTTTGAATCTGGTTTTCATTAGAGAAAGTTTCCCCATCAAAGCATTTTACAGTGATTTTTTTTTTTTTTTTTTTTTTTTAAGTTAATAATTGGTTTTTCAGGTGAAGATGGCAGGTGGGTAGAACAGCCCAATCAAGTTAGTTTCAAAATTTTTTTCCTGTATTCTTGCATTGTCATGGAGGGGAACAACAATTATCCTACAGATGAGAGCAGGCTGCTTTTTGACAAAACCTTTCTAGACATATTGCAACTGCTGGATGTATAAATGTGCATTTAGCATTTCATTGTATTTTTAGATCTCATTACATGCAAAAACATTACTTTTCTTCTGTGAAGCTCAGTTTTGGGGGTTATCCTTGCAAATACACTGCCTTTGCTTTGAACATTGTCATATGTTAATGTACTTTAAATTTATTCATCTTATGGCTATATCACATTGAAACACCAGTTCTCATTCCATCGCTGAAGTTAAGGAACATCAAGTCTGGTCAAAGTGGGTGACTGCTTGGGAATACCAGGTACAGTAAGCTTGTAAGTGCAGGTGGTGCAATTGATGACGGCTTGGAATTGGAAATTGGAGAAACGGGTTCCAATTTCAGTTGGGTTTGTTATATTCATTTACATGCAAAAATACCCTATGAATCCACCTCTTCACCCCAGATATGGGTTAATTAGTAGAACTTGTATCAGGAAATTATTATTTTCCCTAAAAATAAATTTTTACCATTAAAATTATTTCCTGGCTTTAAATAACCTGAAAATGTTTAAGCTGTAAAGAAAGAAAAAATCAATCCAAATTTATTCTTAACTGCCATGTATGATTACTAATTATGATGATACATTCATTACAATTGATTTTCAAAAACAGAAATTACTTATGACTCAATCTAATAGTTGCATAATTTTAATCTTGAATTCAGAAGTAAAAATCACTTATTCTGTTTTTCAAAACATCAATGGGGTTTCCGTTTTTGTTTTAATGAGAAGACTAAAAGGAACTGGAAACCCAATCCTTAATGCGGTAACAAGGGATAAACAACAACTCCTGTTTGCTTGTATATACAGTTATGTTTTTCTCCTTTAAACCAAAGTAATATCTGCCCAAAAATTTTGAGCTGGAATTTCCACAAGTGTTAACAACTAAGACCATCCATTATCTGATGCTTCTACTCTTCTTGCCAAGATAATAAAAAATAAGATAACTTTTTTTTTTTTTTTTTTGAATGTGATATTAAGCAGTAAGGATGCTATTTCTTTAACTGTTGGAGATTCTTTTAATAAAACACTCTGATTATTATTATTATTTTTTCCAACTAAATAATTGATCTTGCTCCAAACAGCACACCTATACATGTGTTAATGAAATTGTAAACTGATTTCTAGTTATTCTTGCATTAGCACTGGTGATAAAATCTCAAAGATAATCTTTTATTAAAGTAGTTTTGAGCTGATATTTAGTCATGACTGTAAGTAACTATGAGAAGTTAACTTCACTCTATATGAAGCAGTTGAACATTTAGCTTAATGGATATGTCATTTGCTTTTGAATATGCATGGAATTTCCACAGGTTTAGGTAGTTTATTAAATAAAATTTTCAAGTTACCTTCAGGAAAGTATGTATACCATGACAATGCCATTTTCACAAATTCAAAATCTCGTTATATACAATATTTTTTGTTACTGTCTTTCTTTTGTCTTTTGCATGCTTGAACTACTCAATCATTCAAGATTTGTTGATTAGTTAACTGCTATCTATAGAGGCTATACTGTAGTTCTTGTGGACATTAATTGATTCGTCATCATCTTTATTCACTTTAATAGATCAAAGGAAGAAAAGAGTAATAAAATTCAATACAACAAACCTTTCTCTTTGTCTCTACGCCTTTTCTTTCCTTTTACCGGCTTTTCTTTTCATTTTTCTCTAGCTTTCTTAACTCCCACCATTCCTTCTCTGTATCTCTCCCTCCACTTTTCCATTTCTCTTGTCATGAAGAAATGAACAGAAAGCCTAGATCAGGTTAATTAACATTACACTGATCTACTTAGAAAAATCCAGAACATCAGTTGGAAATCCCATGCAATACTTGACACAATTAATGGAAAATTGAGACCAATCTCTTGAGCTCAAACAAAAATGATTACAGTTTGCCAACCACTGCCACTGAGTGGACAGGGAAATCATCTCATCCTTACTCCTATGGCATCCTTCTGCATGTGTCTTCTCATGAAAATTAATTTTCCCAGACACCATAGCTTGGGAAAATTGGCCTAATCTCCACAATGTTGTTCGTTTTTTTTTTTTAATGTGTATTAAAATTGATGATGCTTCATTAACAGGTGGTTATTTATATTGATTTGATATTATTATTTTGCCAGTATTTGTTGTAAACTGAAAATGACATTGACATTTTGCTTTCAGAAATTCCATTACCTAATGAACAGGCTCGTCTTGAGATTCTTAAAATTCATGCACAACCAATTGCAAAGCAGGGAGAAATTGGTAAGATTTATTATATATTAATGTTTCCTGAATTCTTTCAAGTGTACAGAATTTGTCATGATGTTTTTAAGATTCGGCAACTATCATTTGAAAGAGAACAACTTGTTCTTTTTATGTAGAAGTTAGCAGAAGTTATACATTTTGTGATAGAAACTGAAAATAATTCAGATAATTTATAGAAAATTTGATCATATAGATTTAAGGGACAAAGATAAATGTATGTATTTAACAAGGACTTTTTTAAATTTTTTTTTTATTTTTTCTTTGAGGATTTTTTTTCCACAATGTTAGGAAAGTTATTCAGTTGTTTATTACTTTTGTAATCGGTCAACTGTAACATATTTACAACAAACATTAGAAAAAAATTCTGAAGCTACGAAAATGAACTCTTAATAAACTTATGGAAACATTGATATTCAGATACTTTATTTATTTATTTTTTCTAAGTATAGAAAGATATTTGAATATAAAATAATTACTGTTTGAATTATTTTCTTTCCAGTATTGTTTCCCTTCTACTTTTTTTTTGTAAACTGTTTGTCTTTCCTGGTAATTAAATTTAAACTTTTATATTTTCACTCATAATATAAAAATTTAAATTTCTACTGTTTTCATTCCTTCTTGATTAATATAGACATATCAGAAACTAAATTCAGGATATTGATATTATGAAATAAATTAAATTTTTTTTTTTTTTGCTGTTTTAGAAACTGTTAATCTTAATTAGTTAAATTGTATAGGTACGTTGAACAAGTTAAGTTATTAAGTGTTTATTTATCATAAAATTCCCTATTGTGTTAAGATTAGTCTAATAAAAAATTACAAACCATTAAAAAGTCGAGACTTGCTAACTGTGACTACTGTTGTTATTGTGCTAAAGAAAGTAATTCATACCGTTTTTTAAATTATGTTCTTTCTTTCATCTGTCTGATTATTACAATGTCTTTCAAATAATCTTTTCATTTTAATATCAAATTGTAAAGATCTTGTAGTTTCAGTGGCAAATAATGGATATATTTGTATCTGAAGTAAAGTTACGAAAGAAAATTGGTTGCTGGAACTGGAGATATGTAGAATGAAGTTAGATTACTTTTCATGCAGTTTTTTCCTGATTTTAAGTCTGAAATATATGTAAGAACAGAAACTCAAAGTACTATTTTTTTTTTTATTTTTTATTTTTTTTTAGATTGGGAAGCTATTGTAAAACTTTCTGATGATTTCAATGGAGCAGATTTACGAAATGTGTGTACTGAAGCTGGTAAGTATGTATGTATGTATGCACACATACACATACATATCTCCTTTAAGAATTAGGAGATCTGTTGACTTCACTACCTTGGTGTCAACTTTACATAATCCTTGGCAATATTTTTTTTTTTTTTTTATCAATTGACCTCCCAATGCTTTATTTAAAAAAAACACACACACACACACACACACACACATGAGCACTATATTATTATTTAAAAATAAACGAACGCACAGTTTTGGGTGTGATAAAAAGGGAGCAGAAAGATGTGAAGAAAGAAAAAGGAGGCGGAAAAAAACCAAGAGTATTATAAATGTATCAGTATGGGGGAGGGGTAATTGAAATGTAAATATTTTTTTAACCAACCTTACATGAGCTTAAGGGGAATATTTTTATATGTATGCAATGGCTCATGACTTTTGATCTCTGGTTCAAACAGTTTTTTAGAATTGGAAATGTCATTATTGCTAATTTTTCCTGTTAGCAGAGGTTGCAAATGTTGTGGTTGTTGTAAGGCTTTGCTTTTTTTTTTTTTTTTTTTTTTAAATTCCACACATGGTTGGCTAGCTTGGTAGAGCTCCTAAGACTTGCTAACTTGAATTACGACCTATTATCTTCATTTGAACAAACTTTTAGTACATACTATGTATGTTTTATTTTGACCATTAATATCTTTAACTTTTGCTTTATAAATTACTGTTTCAGTTTTACAAGCTCCATCTGATGGACATCTATTTTTATTTCTACAGTTGTATAAATTACTAGTGTTAACTATATTTTATTGCACATTAGTTTTGAAATTTTTGGCATTTTTCCAGGAATCTTGAAAAAAAACTTACCAAATAAGATTATGGCATGAATGTTCATAATTGGCAAGATTTTGGAATGCATAGCTTTTTTTTTTTGTGTGTGTGTGTGATCTTGGATATATTGTATTCATTCTTATCAGTCAAACAAAACTTTGAACTTAAAAAAATTATCAAATAGCTGTTTTCAAATAGCAAGCAACAAGTTTTGTTTAAAATAAGTCAAGAGTTTTATTCAGTCAAAAGTTTGAATTAGTTTAAATGTCCTGTAGATGAATCTTAGAATTTACTTTTTTAATTTAGGATTACTATTTAAAATGTGCTTTTATTTAATTTTTCTTCCAGGTATGTTTACCATCCGAGCTGAGAGAGATGCTGTAATTGAAGAAGATTTCATGAAAGCTGTAAGAAAAGTGGCTGAAAACAAAGTCTTGGAATCTAAACTTGATTATAAGCCCCTGTAAACTCCTTAAATGACATCTACTTTGACAGTCTGTCACCATTTATTTTAACATTAGATTTGTATTCTATCCAATAAATTTTTTTTTTTCATCTTTGATGTGTTATATTTATTCTTCCTATTAAAGGATAAATTTTAAAAAGACAAAGTAATTTAGATTTTGGGACCAAACATCTAAATAACCTGGATAACTGATATATGTTCTGAACTCGGATGAAAAAGTGAACAATAATTAAAAGTGACTTGAAAATAATGAGGCCAAATAGTAACATGTTTTAAAAATAGACTAAAACATAAGAAATAACATACTAAGTTTAATAGTGGAGCGTGTTTATAAAAAAAAAAACTGTATATTTGCCTCTTAAAAAATTGTCAAGAGATGATTCTCCCAATTATTTATTCAGGTATTTTTCTTCCAAGTATAATTATGGACTACAAAATTATTTTAAGTTAACCTATAGGAATAAATCATTTTTGTTTTTGTTACTTTATTTTACTTGTGTGTGTGTGTGTGTGTATAAAATATATGTAAAATAGGTTGGTTAATAAAAAAGGGCAAACGAAAGGGTACCAATGTGATCAGTACGAAAAATATTTATTAAATATTAATTATTAACCACAACAAAAACGAAGCATGGAAATTAAGGTTATAAATCTGGAATTTTCCGGCACGCCTGTGTTTTTCTAATCGTATATATATATATACACACATATATATATCCAGGTAAGATGAGAATGAATAGAGTATAATTCCATTGTCTGTAACATTTAATTTAAAAGAGGATTCAATACAAAGTAGAGCAATATTATTTATTGTAGGATATTACAATGAAAAACATGTCAAAATTGCTACACAATTGCAGTCATGTATCACTGCATCTCATCAGGCAATTGTAAATTACTGGACTCCATATATATAATTTCTGTCTGTCTGAATCAAGTTAGCACTTAAACCCTTGAACCAATATTGAGGAAACTTTGCATACATGTTAAACTAATATCCAGTTTGTTACTAGGGTAATTGTTTTTTTTTTTTTTTTTTTCCATAAAAACCTATAAGACCACAAGGGCCCCTAAATTGCACCTTGCTGAGTCTTATGTGAAATGTTTACTCTGTTTAAGCAAGGCAGATAATTGGTCTCACAAGCTCTTTAGAAATTAAGATACATGTGTTATTTCATAACTCTTATAAAGCTTAAGATTCCAGACAGATATGGATCTTTCAGTTTTAAAAATCATAGGGACATCTGAATGAATTGCGGGTTATTTTCTAAATAAAATTTTTATTTAACACATTAATTCAGCATAATCTTTATTTGAATATTATCTCCATGGTATGTTTACATTGTAAAAAATTAATTTGTTTCAAGTTCCGCCGTCTGTGTCATTAAATTTGCCAGGTTTGAATTTATTAAATACAAAGAAATTGGCTTGATCTATTTGGTCATTTAAACATAAAATAACATTTAAATTGAGCTTATTTGTGAACAGAAACTTTACTTAAGCTCATATTTCAACCTACCCTTAAAAAGGTATATCATGGTGGTGGTTGTCTGTGGAATAACAACTTGTTTGAAGGACACTTCTGTGCTATACACCATCTGTGTATATAAAAGAGAAAAATCTAGCTGTGGAAATAGACATTCTTAAAAAAAATCCAAATGTCCTTAGCATGAGCCATGCGACCTTCTCTGTTAAGTTTTGATTACAGTGGTTTAATTAGACAATTGAAAAGCAAAACTGAAATAAAGAATTCATTTTAAACCTTAGGTATTATTATTTTTATTTATTTTTTTTTTTTTTGTGGAGGTCCATATCCTTAGGTCAGTGCTACTAGTAAGACATTGTCAAATTCAGCCATATGATCTTATAAGAACCTATCCCTCCCCACCCTTGAGCCTGGCTAGCTTTTGTTTCTGGCTTGTTCCCTAAAGGATAACATTATGCACCAAATTGAATGGAACACAAGAAAATTTTCTTATATTATTGATCATAAACAAGTTGTTACAATTTACATTCTCAGCTTGATCAAAAAAAACCCTTTCCCCCAAAATTCTGGTGTTTGACCATTTGGCTAAATTTTTAATCACTCCCTTGTAAACTACATTATTATTGGAGAATATGACAAATTTTTACATCAGAACAATGCTAAGTAATTGAATGACAAAGTAGAGAAGTTTCTGTATAAAGTGGCTCATCCTCTAAATAATCTTCAGTGAATCACCTTGGTGCACAAATATAACTAATGTTTATATTTAATGTAACTTCCTTTTTGCACCTTTTATAAATATTTTCATGATAATTGCTCTGATGAACTTTCTTCTATGGTACCTAGGCTATTGATTCAATAAAGAAAAAAATTTTTTTTCATGCTAATTTAAAAAAAAAAAGGAAATGAACTTGGTGGTCAAATGAATGCAAAATATATTTTCTCAAGTAATTGTCCTAAAGCTGAATTGTCAATCCAATATTTATTTTAGTTTGGTAGCAAGGTAAATTTAGATGGTAACATGATTTAAAAAAAGGTTCTGGTTGGCTGTTTGGTGAAAGGCAAACAAGATGTTCAGGAGTCTGTTCTTGATTGGCTGTTTAGTTTGGGCTCTGATGGATGAGAAAATGGAAGTTTTAAAAGAGGAAGCTATTTAAGCAGCTGTAAGGAGAAACTCTTCATTAGCAATCAAGAACCTATGACAGCTGGAAACTGTAAAAGTTGGAAGATGATTTCGCTGTCAAAAAATTCTTTGCTTTGAATAAAATTGCAATGTTTATTCACTAATAGGAATGATTATGAGCTGCTGGGTGAATGAATTGATGAGTGAGTAAAATTTCTGGAAGTTTGTTATATATTCGCAAGTAACTTTGAAAACTTCAGATGAAGTGACATAGGTTTGTGTAGCAAATAGTTTGAAATGACAATGCTCACTGGCAAAGTGAGTTAGTGTTCTGTATTTATTTACTTGGGTAGGCTCCAGAGAAATTGGCACTAAAAACTTTAACTTGATCCCACAATGAAAAAAATTTGTGTGGGTGGATATCAATGCCCACTTGTATGTTTGTTGACCAATTAGAACTTGAATATTCAAAAAAATATGTATGAAGTTGGATCTGTTCAAAACATTACTGTGATCCACTTTTTGCATTGAAATTGAACAAGCTATTTTTAGTAATTTTTAAAGATGCAGAATTAGGATTCTACAAACTCATAAAAAAGATATACATGATGTAGTCAGCTTTCAATAATCAAAAAAGCCTTGACCATGTATAATCAATCAGTTATGTGCCATGTGTGATACACGCTTAGGCAATCATGTATCTTTTGAAACATGACTGACGAGGCAGATTTTTTTCCTGCAGTAGGTTGCCATTTCTTTTTGTGGTAGACCAGTTGCCATCCAAGGCTATAGAACCCAGTCTGTCCTGCTATTTATCCATAGCTGGAGGGAGAAGAAGAGGATTCATATCTTTTCCAAGTGTATTAGCACGTAAGTAATGGATTCGACGAATTCAAACTCGACTCTCCGATTACTCAAACCAAGCTGCTATCCAATACTCCACCATGCTTTTTTTAAAGAAAGTTCAAAATATACAAACATTTAACAATTGAAAGGTCTTTAGAGAAGGTACAATTACTATTTTAAAAAATGTTAAAAATACACATTCTTTCAAAAAAGGTGCACTTACATGTACTTAATTGAATGATAAAACAGAAAAGGCTTTGGCAGAATTCATCAGCATCACTGGGATTTTAATAATTTTTTTGTTTTTTGAATACACCTGGTTTCACTTTGGTTCTGTTTCTTTTTTCCATTTGCTTCTTTAAGAAACAGCTCAGCTCATCCTCAGGTGGCAGCCAAAATAGCTTTTCTTTCTGGATCCTTATAACTTGCGTAGTTTGATTTTATCAAAATTTTTATGCTTTCTGTACCTTCAGAAATTTTGTTGCCTGGTTGAAATTTTTATGCCTTGTGAAATTTTCTGTTAACTTGTCTTCTTATATAGCCTCAAACTAGGCCCCATACAGGTCACAACCTTTGAATTTGTGTGGATAGAAGTCACTGCCTTCATTAGTCAATAAATCCAAAGGTGTATATCTTTTCAAATTTGAAATTTAAAACACAAACTGTTCACCTTTAACTGAATTAGTTTCTGCTGGTTCTTACCAAGACATTCTATTTTTAGAAAATTTAACAAACAAAAATGTTTTGCATCAAATTTATTTTTTTAAGTCTAGCTTTCTTTTAATTTTTTTTTAAAGATTTCCCTTAAAAAAGCAAGTGTAAAAAATAAACCTAGAATATATTTTTTTTTTTACCTACACCTTTTTATTAATCATTTAATTTATATTTTTTTATATAAATTTTTATTCTCCTCTCAATAGAAAGAGCAATAAACAAACTTAATGTATTGTATTATTTTTTTTAGATAAATTTGCTTTTTAAGCCCCGCGCTAAATATCTATTAAAAATTTCCCAAATCATTATATTTCCGTGTCAATTGACATGCTGGATTCGAAAATAACAATTAAATTTTGATAAAATCTACTGTTTTGGAGTTATCGTGAATAAAAGTTCGGATTCAGTCGCGTTCAGCCGTCGGCCATTACTGGCCTTGTTTAACTACATTCACTGCGGAACATTTTTCGCGCGGAAGCTTAATTAACGGCCTTTTTACTGCTCTTTAACTGATCTTACTCGTCTAAATTACTGCGCATTTAAGTTGTGTCGGAAAGCAATGACAAGTGTTTTTTTTCGTTAATCGAAACCCCTTTTTCTGTGCAGAAAAGCAATGACAACTGTTGTAAAGTTTTTATTTTAAATTAAAAATAAGACAATAATTAATGAGCAAAATTTGTAAAGAGCGTGAATATTTCCAAAATAAATTACAAAGTTTGCGCATTAATTATTATTTCGTTTCTGGCATTTTTTTATTTTGTAGATAATCATGCTCTTTACAAAGTTTGCGCACAGTAAAAAAAAAAAAAAAAAAAGAAAAAGAAAAGAAAATTTACCTTTAAAACTAAAAGAATACTAATTTATAAAATTATTTCCGAAAAAGATTTTCATAATTTTTTATGAGTGGACAAATAAGTTGGTCAACAAAAGTTATCACTCAGATTTTTTTATTCTTAAAATATCCCCCCAAAAAAAGAAACAAATTTAGATGATTTACTTTAGTTTAAAAAAAATTCAGACTGTGTAAAAAAATTTAACCGAACGTCTCTAACGCATTCTCCCTGAAATTTGTGCTAGCTTCATAATTGAGTCCTTCTTTATAGCTTTGAAAAGTAATAAATCCGAAAATAAAAATAAAAATGCTGTGAGAAATGCAATATAAAATAAATCATTAATTTCAAGTAATTAAGTTTAAAAAAAAAAACAAAACAAAAAAGCTGATGTAAGCAAATTATTCTGGTATGCAGAAATCATTTGTAACGCTAAAAACTAGTGGCATCTAGGAAACAAAGTAGCTATTTTTAGTCATGATTGAAATAAAATTTCTAACTTAGTTTCTGTAACAATAATAATTAAAAAAAAAAAAAAAAAACCTTACAAGCATCAGCCTTCCCTTTCAGTTCTTTTCACTCACGGGCAAAAAGTACTGAGTCAACCGACCAGTATTGTTTGCAAACAATTTGATGCAACACAGTAGTTATACCTGTTACTATTATTATTATTAATACTAACTGGACTTCTCCCCACTCAAAGTAAAACAAATATAAAAAAAACAATACCAAAGTCACTTTTCAACTCAGAACACGTGCGTGCGTAGCAGAGGCAAAAAGTGACGTCATCAACAAAGAACTCTCCACACAGAGGTTGTCACCAGACGGAAGAAGATATTTCCAGGTTGCGGTGGAATGTAGTCTTAGGTATTTTACCTGCTTACAACCAGTTGCTGTTCTCTGTATGTTTTTATTTATACAAAAGTCGTGCGTATGGATTGTTGTAGATTTAACTTTATTCTCTGAGTAAACTCTGTACTTAAATCAACGAGAGGGACCAAATAATTTAACACGCCCCGCCTCTCGATTTTTCTAAACTAAACACGATGAAACGAGAAACGTTTAAGAACTGAATTGTGTTCTCTGTTTGTTTTTTTTTTTCTCTCGTGTGACTGAGTGTTAAGGAAACAATGTCGTTTTTAGGCGTCGGGCGAAACCGGTGGAACACAGAGGAAGATGATTACTGGTCAAAGTCACAGATTGAGAAATCAACAGGGAAGTATAACATGTTTGATGATGCTATCTCTGTGGACAACGCGTCGGTTTTTGCCTCAAAGATTTTGTCCTGTCGCCAGTATGAAGACGACGACTTCAGCGAAAGTCTAGAGTCGCACTTGGACCTCGGGCTTTCTACTACTACTACTACTACTACTGCGACAACTACATCGTCATCGTCTTTCCCCGGGGGTGGAAAACTGAAAAACGAACAGGCTAGTCTCATCTCACGAATTGGGACCCCTGCTAAAGCAGCAGCAACAACAACAACAACAACAGGAAGTAGTAACTTAAAAAAAGGAACGGATTACTACAGGCAACCTTCGTCCACTCCAGCTACCCCAGGTGACGGAGTTCAGTCCGGGGCCGCCTCTTTCCACCATGCCCGCACTTCTTCTTTCGGTCATGGCCGATCTAAGAGCGATACGGGAACAACGGGTGGCAGCTTTAGTGTCTATAATACTCGGACCGAACTCAGTATGAATACAAGCCGCAGAAGTAGTCAACAAGAAGGAACTTCCGATTACTCTGAGGGATCTTACTCGAGCGATGCATATGCCAGTATCGAGGACATATTGCAACGATCCACACCTAAAATATCTCCTGCTGCAACAATTAATAAACTAGAGGCCGAAGTTCAGTTTCTTAGACGTTCATTAAAAACGTCAGATCGAGAGCGATGGTCAAGGCCGTTGGTTACCGACACTGTGAAAAGAATTCGAGATGGAGAAATCCATACAGGTTTATTCATGTATCGCACCCGTGAAGATAAACTTGAAATTATGGATAAAGCAATCGAAAGTAATGATGGTAACGTCATCACGGCTGTTGTGCTTTTTCTGAGACAAACTCTAAGTGATGAAGTTTTTCAGGAAGTTTTGGAGACCCGTCCAATAGCAGTCAATCATTACATTAGCCATCTTCGAACAGAGGGTAGCTACCCTGAACTCGTGTCTTTCCTAAAGGCGATGCAGCTGAATGAAGAAGCAGCTATGGTTATGTACAAGCAAGCGGTTTGTAACAAAGATTTAGCGGTAAAATTTGATAGTCTCAAGAGGTGTCTACGAGAGTACAAGTCACACTGTCCTAACATGTCATCAGAAACGTGGCTTGTAGAACAACAGCTCGCATTACTTGAATGGCAAAATGCTGTAGACAGTATGGATAGTAAAAACGCAACGGACACCCGTTATTCAATCTTCCAGGAAGTTCCTCGTCCACTCAATCTAGTCACATCATCTGTTGTAGCATCCGTTTATTACAGCTGTTTGTATCATTATAACAACAAAGAAACGGATTTCGCCAGTCCGTTACATTTTCGAAAAAAGCACGCCCTCACCGAGAAGCAGTTCTTGTGGCCAGCACTGGCTGCACGAGCTCGGGTTAAAGCCTGGGCCGATATTGAAGATTTACTGACAACCAAGGGAACAATGTTTACAGGTAAAAAAATAAAAAATGTAGTTAGCCTTGATAAAGTGGCTGAACTATTGTTCAAATTCGGTGCACCTGAAGATGAAATAAAAAAATGTCTGCTAGCAATGAATAATAACGAAAAATGTTTGCAACTCTCGCAGAAATTTAACTGCTATCGCACTTTTGTTGAGACCTGTGTGGCCATGAAGGACCGTCGAGAGTTAGAAAACTTTGCTCGAAAATTCCCCAGCAACAGCGAACCACATCGTTTAGCAGCGGATGCCCTCAGTGTTTCAACTATTAAATGGAAATGATTTTTTTTTGGTTTTGTTTTGAATTAACTAAAGAAAATACCTCAAAATTTCAATGATTTGATATTTAAAAAGCTAAAGCAATATTACTTTTTTTTTTTTTTTACTTTTGTTTAAATTTATTTTGAGGTATTGCCAATCAGACGAAGGAGAGTGATGTAAAACTTTTACAGTAAAAGTTCTTCTCACACTGATTATTAATATTATTAATTCTCTGTCTGTCTACCTATTGTATTTATTGTAACCACATACTACATAGAGATGCAATTTACATATTTCTCTCTCTCTTTCATATTTTGACAAATGAAAACGATTTATGATAATGCATTTTTCGCCATTCAAGACTTCATCAGATCCGGAAACGAAAGAATGAAATGTGTATTTTGTGTGCATGCTTCCTTAAATAATGAATCTTTTTAGTATTTTTAAAGCATGACACAGATACGCATTTCATTCTTTCGTTTCCGGATATGATCGAGCCTTGAATGGCGAAATGCTTTATTGAAATCTATTTCATGAAATGTTTTTGTTTTTCCATTTGTCAAACTCAAAAAACTGTCGGGATTTTCTATATCCTAATTTAAAAACATAAACACATTGTCATTGATGAGTGATGACATTTAGAGTTGAATTTCTATTTTATAATAATTTATTTACTTTTAAATATAAATAATAAAATTATCTAAAAATTAAAGAAACTGTACAAAATAATTTTTATGACTTTTCCATACAGTATGTGTATAAGTTTGTGTTTGTGTGTTACCGAACGGGTAAATATAGGTAGGTATATGAGCGAGCAATTAATGTAAAAATTATCTATCTATCTATCTATCTATCTATCTATCTATCTATCTATCTATCTATCTATCTATCTATCTATTCTTCATCTGTTATTGTTCAATATATATATATATATATATATATATATATATATTGAACAATAACAAATATTAAAAAATTAAAATCTTCAGACACACTGGGTTGTAGATTAATATTCTTTCGTTTTTTTTTTTATTATTGTTTCATTTAGATTCCTCGACTAGTTTCGGGCCAAAAATGGCCATCATCAGAAGAAGAAATATTTCTGGTTGCTGGTAGCAGTGAACTACAGAAATGAATGTCTTGATGGAGAAAATGAACTTTTGTCTGTAGTTTTCATTTGTTTTTTTATTTTTTTATCTTTTTAACATGAATCTTTTAACAATCCTTGTGTTGGTCAAACTGTCTCTTTTAAGTTGTTATTTGAGATAAGAGCTGGATGGATCTATGCTGCTCTGAATTCTCCTGGTCAGTTTGACAGTTTTATTGGTTCTTGGAGAGGGGATGTGTCTCTGTTAAGTGTGTGTGTGTGTGTGTTATTTAGTTCTTAGTGAGTGAGTGAGTATGATATGTGTAAGCGTGTATATTGCTGTGGGTGTGTGTTATCATTTGGCTCATTAGGGAGTGAGTGAGTATGATGTGTGTATGTTCGCGTGGGTGTGTGTATAAGTGTGAGGCCTCAACACCTCCGTAAGCATGTCTGTCTTGTGTGGGTGAGAAATGTGGGTAGGTTTTGATTTGTAGGGTTATATATTAATATTATCTATATTGTTAAATTTATGGTTTAGTCCAACTGGATAGTGTGTTTTTAAATGTTGTATCCACTTATTTTCACTGAACTCTAAAATCTTTCTAATGTTATCTGCTCTGAATTAAATATATATATATATATATATATATATATATATATATATATATATATATATATATATAGCTTTTTTTGGGGTGAGTATCTATCTGTTATCTGTCTACCTACTTATCGGCATATATTTATATTGTAGAAGAGAAATGGGTGTGTGTAAGTAGGTACCTTCAAAGTTTTGATAAAAATGTCCTAAACCTAAAAACAAAGTTTTAAGTTTAAGTGTCAAAATTTTTGTAAGAGGACAGATCAGGGGATTTTTGATGTGGAAATTATTTTTTTAATCTTTTTTAGAACCTTTGAAATTTTCGTTAAGATTCTTATTTCTCTGGCATCAACAGGAGACCTTAATTTTAATTTTAGAAATTTCAGTGCTGTGAAAAAAACTGAATTGGAAATCCTTACAAAAATAGGATAATTGTCAGATTTTGAAACTTTCAGGATTTATTCACAAATGAATTAAATTATTTTTGAAATATTTCCTTTTTAGAATATTCTTGATAATTTTTTTATTTTTTCTTTACATTTGTTACTCCACACTTATTTAATTTTATGAAATTTTGAGAAATTTTTTTGTTGTAGCACTTAGTCATATGGACAAGTCCTTGGGGAATTTAAATCATCAAATGTTTTTGGTAAAACAGGACCCCTAGTTACAGAAAAATCTACTCCGTATCATAAAATAAAAATGCAATCAAAATAAGACATTATTTAATTAGAAAAGCTTTTAATTGGTTTTATGAATAATGGACACTATTGTCTTAAGAAATTTTTATTTTAATGAATGAATTTTTTTCAAGAATTGTGTTAATTTTTAAAAAATTTTAGTTAAAGTAATTTATAATCTTTTAAAAAACTTCGTCGCTGTCAAGTGATGTTGTTATTAAATAAAAACTATATTTACTAATCATAAATTCAGTGACTCCCAGTATTTTAAAAAGAATTTTGAATTTTTTTGTGTGTATAAATGTGACCATTTTTGTAAATATGGATGTCCATACATGGCATTATCAGAAAATAAGAGTGGTAACTATAGTAAATTTAAAATTTATTGGTAATTTTCTAACATTTCTTCAACAAGAATCTTTGTAAGTAACACTATAAAGCCAAAGTACCTAAAATAAGATATTTAAAATTTTTAAGATTACAGGGTAGTTAAAGTATGATCTAAAAAAAAAGGCGTTTCCTTTGTATTTGTCATGTGATTTTACTGCAAGTATTTCTCCCTTACATAAATCTTGCAAACATCAGGTTATTGATACACCTTATAAACACACTCACTACCATGTTAAAAAGGTTTTTCTGTGATATTTTAGACTAAAAGTAATTAATATTTGTTTTAATTCAGATTAATTAAACTTTTAATCAGTTAATTTTTCTCAAATAAATTTTCAGAAAAGTATATTTTATTTTTGAAAGATTTTTTAATAAAGTGAATTAAAGTTGTGTTGACAGATTTGTGAATATTTTAGCAAAATGCATTTTAAACCTTAGGTATGTAATTTTTTTTTTTTTTTGACATTACCTATATATATATATATATATATATATATATATATATAAATGGTATGTAATTTTTTTTTTTTTGACATTACATATATATATATATATATATATATATATATATATATATATATATATATATATATATATAAATGGTAGGCCAGACTGGAGTCAGGTCAATGTGCAGAAATTTAAAAAATGTGCTTAATACACAATTCACAAAATAGAATGTAGAATGGAATATAAAATTATAAAAGATTAAAATTATCAGGTTAAAAATCCATGAATTCTTTAGAAATTACTAATATATATATATATATATATGTGGTGCGATGAGTAAATTATCGCCATTTTATAATTTTAATTTTCACATGAACATTGTTTTTTATTTTGCTGATTGCACTATATATTAGGGTCAGTTGGGCACCATCTATGGGAAAAAGACCACCATGACACAATTCACTCCACCAGAAATTTGGAAATGGCATGCTGTACTGGTTGGCATTCATGCTGGAAGTTCCAATATGAACATTTCAGTGTTTGAATGTTAATCTGATGACAATGCAGAGGATTCAGAAAGAGATGGCTGAGACTAATGGTGATTATGATGGTGTTTGGAGTGATCACTAGTGATGACAATGTTATGTCTCCATTCATCTCCTTCAGATTCAACATGGAGGCCTACATTACTGCCTTGAGAAGGTAGAGCTGTCCAGGGTCAAGAGGTTGTTTGCTGGAAACCTTATGTCTGGCAACAGGACCCTGCACTATGCCACACAAGCAAGAGAACCCAATCATGGCTGTCAGACAATTTCTGCAACTACATCACCCCTTACATCTGGCTACCTGGCTCCCCAGACAGCAACCTCCTTGATTATTATGTGTGGGGGTGCAGTTGAGCGACAGACCAACAAAACTCCTTGTAACAACAAAGATGAACTGAAAGCAAGGATTATGGTAACATTCACCAATTTAAACAAGGAGACCATTCAGAAGCGTTGCAAGAGATTCCAAAGTTGTCTGGGGGCCATGGTTGAAGCCAATTGTGATTTTATTGAATAAATTTACTCTTTAGTATTTCAAGATATTTTTGTGTGATTTTGGTAAATATACCTGCTAAAATGAGATGTCAGTGTTATTCTCATTTTGTGTACTTTAGAGGACAATTTATCCATCGCTCTCTCTCTCTCTCTCTCTATATATATATATATATATATATATATATATATATATGTAAAAATTTCAGATTTTTGTAAAAGGACAATATGAATAAAGACAAAAGGAAAACTTAGGTGACATGTTTCATCTTTTATCAAGGGAAATGTAAGGAATTTATTTTATGAAAGGTACTTATATACAAGAGGAAAAATGTTATTGCTTTTTCAAATTTTTTGGTATAGAAGTGCTCATGAATATTTATCAAGCTAGTGGAAAAGTCAGTCAAGTTCATGGATGTGGGGTGATACAATTCAATGCTTAATGAAAGTAGATTCTTATATATATATATATATATATATATACACACACACAATATTTAAATTATTTTGTATTGGGATTAATTTATGTTATATGTTTTGTATAACATGAGGTTATGGATTTAACCATTTTCCTTCGATTTTTTTCCTATTTTTGTGATCATGTATTTTGGCTTAGGAAACTAGTAATTTTTTTCAGGAAATAAGATATTGGGAAGAATCTGGGACACAGATTTATATTTTGATAAGATTCAATAGCAGCAGTTTCGAAAATTTTTATTTTTTTATAATAAGTGTGGCATTCGTTAGGTCAGAGTTGTGGTTGAATTTATTTCTATGCATGACTAATGCATTTGATAAGTTGTGTATAAGATCTCTTTTATGTTCATAGATATATTTTTTTAAATTTCTGAAAGTTTCCCCAATATATTGTGAGGAACAATATTGGAAATTTATTTTGTATATACCTGCTTCAGAATTATTATTGTGGGTATTTTTATCCGTATATATGTGTGGCAAAAGTAATGTTTTTTTATTAAATTTTATTGAACAAAAATGTATTGTCACATCAAAACAACATGATTTGTTATGATTAAAAAACTATTTAAGATGATCAAAATACTCCCCTTCATATCTAATACAACACTGAACCATATCAGCAATACTTCTATAAACCATTTGACACATTTCTACATTAATTTCAGAAAATTTATCAGAAATTGCTTGTTTTACTTTGAAATTCTTTTCGGGTTGAGCCTGTAAATAAGATCTTCCGGTACAACCCGCAAGAAAAAGTCTGGTGATTGTGATGACCACTCTGTTGCTCTATGTCATCCTAAACACCTTATCTTCAAAAGAAAAGGTGTTACATTTGCCTCACCCTGTGTATATGGTAATATAATTTTAAGGTATGCTATACTTATGGGTAAAAGTGATCAATATCAGGTATAGAGCATGTGTAAATAAGGGGTGCTACCTAAAATTTTTGAGGAATTGAAAGTGTGAAATGGCTTCTACAAAAAAAAAAAGGAGAGAGGGAGAGGGGGAGAGGCCCTTTCTTTTTTAGTGGTAAGATTTTGGGAGATGTGGCAAATGTCCAGTGTGTCAAGGGAAATGCTGTACATTTCAGAGTAAGAGTGATCAATTTACTCAAATTCCTTCAATTTTTGTGTTTGAGTATATATATATATAAGAAAGAAAGAGGCACAGTGGTGTAGTGGTGAGGAATTG